CACCGCCCCGGCCCCCCCCCCCCCCCCCCCCCCCCCCCCACCCCCCCCCCCCCCCCCCCACACCCCCCCCCCCCCCCCCCCCCCCCCCCCCGCTGGAGATCTAGTCCGGTGCCAAGTGCCAACTGCCTGTTTAGGCTTAAGCAAGTCGAGAGCTAGCGAGCCAGCGCAGGCACACCTTGTTCTGGGACTTTATCCGCCGTCTTGGCGGCCTGTGTCCTGGCGAGTGGAGGCGGGCAGGGTCCTTTGCGTCCGCGCGTCCATGGACTGACTCCCTACATGTGTGAATCGGCGTCCAAATGTCGATACACTTGCCAAAAGATGATGATGGATTACCATCAATTGAGCCTCGCTCCAGAGTCCAGACCAGCAGCCCGCGCCCGAGAAGGTGTCGGGAGGCGACGCCACAGCCGCAACAGGAGGACAAACACGAGCGACGCCTGGGGGCCCAATTTATCAGGGGGACCATCTTCAGTGCCTGGGAGGGAGTGGAGCACTGAGAATTTGGGAAACGTGCGATTTCTCGACCGCAGGCAGTTGTGCATCTATCTATCTGCCAAGGTCCGCCGGCCCATGCAGTCTGCACGCCCAGTCTTGGGGACGCGTGGTCTGGTCCGCGCCCGACCCTTCCGCCATGGGCCACCGCGACCATCTCGTGGACCTTGGACTGTACAAGGAAGTCAAGGACGTCAACGGGGGGGCCGATTGTAAACACAGCTGAGCAGCACAACGGGGCGCCTCCAGCCAAGCCAAGCAAGCACGTGTTGACGGCTGCGAGTCTGCGTCGCGCCGCGCAAGCGTGGAGGAACGACCCATACGTACTGCGCTAATTGGGAGGCCCAGGGGTCGACATCGCCAAAAGACCATGTTGGATTCTTGGCACGCATGGCTGGCTGCATGGGCCTGCGGAAGTTGGCTCGATCCATTCTCGCGGGCGCAGCTCCTGACCCTGGTGGTGGTCGTGGCGGTGGTTATTACATTTGCTCGTCGTCGGTCGTTCGCTCGCGTCTTTTTCCCTTCTCTCCCTCTTCTCCCCACAGCCACTCTGTACGGCTTCACACTCGTTTGATAACCCCCTTTGACAGCCAGGATGTGGAAGGGATTGCTCGTCGCGGGCGCGACCGGCCTGCTTGGGCTGGTCCATGGCCTCGCCTCGACCGACACCATCACCTGGGGCGGCGACAACTCGCGCGCCGGCTACCAGACGACGCACAACATGGACCCGGCGATTGTCGGCAGCGCCCAGTTCGGACTCGCCTGGGAGACGAAGCTGCCCGGCAACTACGGCGGCCAGGCGGAGCAGATCTACTCGCAGCCGTTGGTGTACACGCCCGCGGGCGACGACCGTCAGTTTGTGTACTGGTCGACGACCCAGAACAACGTCTACAAGGTCGACGCCAAGACGGGCGAGATTGTCGCGTCGCGGAACCTGCACATCCCCTTTCTGACGGCCGACCTCGACGGCTGCGTGGACATTAACCCGCACATTGGCGTCACGGGCACGGGCGTGATCGACCCGGACACGGAGACGCTCTACATTGCCGCAAAGACCTATGCCAACGAGGACGTCACGGGCGCCCAGGGCCGTCCCCAAGGCCGCTACTACATCCACGCCCTCGACGTCAACGACCTCTCGGAGCGACCCAACTTCCCCATCAGCATGAACGGCGAGGTCCCCGACAACAACCCGGATCGCACCTTTGTCAGCGGCGACCTGCTCCAGCGACCCGGCCTGCTGCAGCAGGGCGACTACATCTTCATCGCCTTTGGCTCGCACTGCGTCCAGTGGCTCTTCACCGGCTGGATCGTCGGCTTCCACAAGACCACGGCCGAGTTCACCGCAAAGTTCGCCACGCAGGGCGAGAATGTCGTCGACGAGGGCGCGGGCGTCTGGATGTCGGGCGGTGGCCTCGCCTCGGACGACGCCGGCAGCATCTACTTTGCCACGGGCAACGGCTACGCCTCGCAGCTGGCGACCATCCCCGTCTCTGGCTTTGATCCCCCGACCGCCCTCGAGGAGGCCGTTGTCCGTCTCAGCCTGGCGGAGGACGGCAGCGTCCGCGTCGTCGACTTCTTCATGCCCTGGGAGAAGCAGCAGCTCGACGGCGCCGACGACGATCTCGGCACCAGCCCCATCCAGATCCTGCCCTCGGAGACCTTTTCGTGCGGTGACGTCCGACGCATGGGCGTCATCACGGGCAAGACGGGCAAGACGTACTTTGTGAACCTCGACAACCTGGGCGGCTACCGCAACGGCGCGGACGGTCTCGATGCCGTCATCCAGGTCTACGCCGGGCCCCGATCCGTGTACTCGGGCGCGGGCGTCTACCCCCTCGAGGGAGGCTACATCTACATCAGCCCGACGGGCGGCAACCCGACACACGTCTTCTCCTTCTCGTGCGAGGACGGCCAGGCCCGGTTCACCCGGATGGCCGAGAGCAAGAACCTCAACGCCGTCATCCTGGGCGTCAGCCACGGCACCGTCACCTCGCTCGACAACCAGCCGGGCACGGGCCTGCTCTGGATCACGGACCGTCGTGGCGACAGCGTGCGCGTCTACGACGCCGTCCCGACCGAGGACGGCTACCTCAACCAGATCAAGGGCATCTCGGTCGAGGGCGTCACCAAGTTCAGCCGCGCCGTCTTTGGCGACGGCATGATGTATCTGGGCAGCGTCGTCGGCAACATCTACGGCTTCGGCGCGCCCACCAACCCGCCGCTCGCGTGTGAGGAGACCCTTGCCTTTGGCACCGTCGACACGGCCGAGGAGAGCGCGGTCAAGGAGGTCACCTGCCAGGCCACGATTGGTCTCACCGTCGACAAGGTCAGCCTCACCACGGGCACCCACTATGTGCTCTCCTCCCTCCCCGACGGCGAGCTCACCCTCGCCGCCGGCGGCTCGTTCACGTTCAGCGTCCAGTTCTCCCCCAAGCGTGTTGGCCTCCACACGGACGCGGTCAAGATTGCGACTGCCAACAACGTCGAGGGCTACAGCACCACGACGAGCGTCCGTCTCTCGGGGACAGGCGAGGCGGCCGACGCCCTCCTCGACGTCTCGCCCGACAGCGTGACGTTTGCCGACGTCGTCTCGGGCGATGGGCCCTCGGACCGCGTCGAGAACATCATCCTCTCCAACGAGGGCAACTCGGCCCTCACCATTGACGGCGTCTCGTTCAGCGAGTCGGTCGACGGCCCCTTTGAAGACTGGGACGGCGAGCTCCCCCTGCGCGTCGGCAAGTTCATCGTGACCAACATCCCCGACACCATTGCGGCCACGTCGCGCGCCACGCTCGACATCCAGATGGACGCCACCGCGTCGGGCACCTTTACCGGTGCTGTCCGCATCACCTCCAACGGAGGCGAGGGCGCCTTCACCATGGAAGGCGCCGCTGGTCCCGCGCCCGTGGCCGTCATCGAGTTCCAGAGCGCCGACGGGGAGGACTGGATCCCGTACGAGCAGGGCGTGCCCTTTAGCTTCGGCAACGTGACCCAGAACACGGCCTCGGCGCGTCGCATGCGCATCACCAACGCGGCCCCCGAGGGCGGCGTCTCCCTCACCCTGACCGTCTCCAAGCCCCCCTTTGGTGGCGCCGGCCTCATCCGCGCCGCCAACCAGGTCGACCTCGCCGAGGGCACCAAGCTCTACCCGGGCGAGAGCGAGACGGCCGTCCTCTCGTGCGCCGCGCCCAAGACCCAGTGGAACACGGACGTGATCCGCGCCAACGCGACGTGGACGCTCAACCTCAACGACCCGACCTTTGAGAAGAACGTGATTGACTTTGTCTGCAACGGCGTCGCCCAGCAGGCACCGCCCCTTTTGTACCCAGGCTACGGCCAGTACCGGTACCTGGGCTGCTTCAAGGAGAACAACCCGGGTCGCCAGCTGCAGAGCCAGCTCTACGGCAGCGACGACAACACCAACGCCCTCTGCATCGACCGCTGCTCCGAGCGCGGCTGGATCTTTTGCGGCACGCAGTACCACCGCGAGTGCTGGGGCGGCAACACCATCCCCTCCCTGCAGGTCGACGACGCCAACTGCAACTTTGACTGCGAGGCCGACGTCAACCAGTGGTGCGGCGGCAACGGGGAGGGCGCGGGCTCCGGGGGCAGCTACATTTCGCTCTTTGCCGACTCGCTCGAGTGGGATGGCAACTATACCAACCCGGACACGCCCACGGACCCGGAGGACCCTCCTCCGACGACACCCCCCGGTGGTCCCGAAGCCAACCCGGGCGTCGACGGGTATGCGCACATTGGCTGCTACACCGAGGCGACGTCGGGCCGGGCGCTGCCCTTTGGCAAGACGATGGAGAGCGCCACGGTGGCCAACTGCGTCGAGGCGTGTGCTGCGGATGGGTACACCTACGCGGGTCTCGAGTACGCCCAGGAGTGCTGGTGCGGTAGCCAGCTTGGTGTTGGCGCGGTGGAGGCCCCGGAGGGCGATTGCAACCTGGCCTGCAAGGGTGAGTCTTCCTTGCTGTTTCTGTTCTGCGTCATGGCACGTACTAACTTGTTTGTACAGGGAACCCTGCTGAGCTCTGCGGTGCCGGATCTCGCCTCAATGTCTACAGGCTGGGTGGCAGTCCCTCGTCTAGTGGGACGTCCACGAGCATCGCGCAGACCCCGACCACCACGGCCACTCTCTCTGAGACCCAGACCTCGTCTGCAGGAACCTCGTCTGCAGGAACCTCGTCTGCAGGAACCTCGTCTGCAGAGACCTCGTCTGCAGGAACCTCGTCTGCGGAGACCACCTCTGCAGCCGCTACTACTACTACTACTACTACTACAGCTGCTGCCACCACCACCACCACCACCCAACCTGCGCCTACCAGCACCAAGCCCGTCGAAAAGGCCACCGTCGGCGACTACGACTCCCTCGGCTGCTACATTGAAACCACCACCGGCCGCGCCCTCACGCCCGGCTTCCTCGCCGACGACGACATGACCCTCGAGATGTGCGCCGACTTTTGCGACGCCTACACCTACTTTGGCGTCCAGTACGGCCGCGAGTGCCGCTGCGGCAACGTCCTCAAGGAGGGCAGCATCCCCGCCCAGAAGCAGACGGACTGCTCGTTCCCGTGCCCCGGCGACAGGAGGTATCTCTGCGGTGCCGGCATGCGGTACAACCTGTACATTCGCGGCGGCAGTGCGTCGCTGTCCCCGTCTGTGTCTTCGAGCAGCCCCGCCACCACGGCCCAGTCGACCTCGGAGACTCTGGCGCCGGAGGATGTGTCGTCCACTACAGCTGCTGCGACGTCGACAACCGCTCAGGTCACCACATTGAGCAGCAGCGCCGTCTCTAGCTCGACTGTCAGGCCTGCCCCTTCCACCGTCGAGCTCTCTTCCACCGTCGAGCTCTCTTCCACCACCACCTCCTCTTCCACCAAGGCAACTACCTCTTCCACCACCTCCTCCTCTTCCACCAAGACGACTACCTCTTCTACCAAGACCACCACCACCACCTCCGCCAAACCCACCGCCACCGGCCCCGTCGCTTGGGAGGGCAACGCCAACTTCACCTACTACTCGTGCGTCTCCGAGCCGTCGTCTGGCCGCCTCCTCCCCAAGCAGGTCCACAACAACGGCACGGACATGACGCCGGCCCTCTGCCTCGAAAAGTGCAGCGGCCAGTACAACTACGCCGGCGTCGAGTACGGCCGCGAGTGCTGGTGCGGCGACGAGCTCAACTTTGCGGGCAACGAGGGCGCCACACCCGGCCGGAACGTCACGGACGACAAGTGCTGGTTTGAGTGTCCTGGTAACGAGACCGTCCGCTGCGGCGCGGGGGGCCACATGAGTCTCTATGTGCTGCGGGAGCTGGTGCGCGAGATGTACGGGCCGGATGCGGCGTAAATGGGAGGAATTTGTAATGAGAATACACCGACGTCTAGACTAGACCTTTTCTTGTAATTATTTCTGGACTGTCAATATTATACGGAACACACTGTACTCTTGACAGCCTTGGTGACCGATCCTCTTGTGGTTCGCATCCTTGCCCTCCAGGTCAGCTGAGGTGAACTAACTAGACGCACAGCATCGAAGCTGGCCTTGAGGCTATTCATCTACCCCCCCTACAACCCCCCTACTTGACATGATGCTTCACCACCTCGGCAACCTCCTCCTCCGTCTTGCCCTTGACGCCCAGCAGCGCATTGTCGTTCTTGTCGAAATTGCCGCCATTCTCCTTGCCAAAGATGGCGCGGTACAGATACGGACCAAAAGTCTGGAAATCCAACAGCCCCTGGGCAAGCCTCTTGTCCGCTGCACTTGTCAAGTCATCCAAGGCCACGTGCTCCACATCCCAAGACTTGCTGGGCGCGGCCTGCTTTGCGAGCCCGAGGAGCTGGTTCTGCGTGACCTTTGCGTCCTCCACGTACACGGCGCGGTTCTTGGTCTCCTCGGGGTGCGTGAGGACACCGTAGACTCCATCCGCCACGGAGGCCAAGTCGGTGACGGAGAAGGGAATGTCGCCGCCGTCCACGACCTGGGTCTTGTCGCCGGCGCGGTTGATGAGGAAGCTCTGGTCGATGCCCCAGTCGAGGAAGGCGCCGTTGTAGACAAATGTGTAGGTCATGTCCGTCGTCTTGGCGATTTCGATCAACCTGTTCCTGATGTCGATCTTGGGGAGGAAGACGGGGAGGCGCTGGGTGGCCTCGTTGGCCAGGTTGGAGCCAAAGTCGGACGGGATGAAGCGCTTGACGCCAGCGGAGAGCGCCGCCTCGACGAGGTTCTTCTGGGCGGCAATGTGCTCCGACGAGATGGTGGAGACGACGGCGTCCTGGCCGGCAAGCGCTGCTGCGAGGCTCTCGACGCTGCCAAAGTCGACGTCGACGACCTGGACGTTGCCAGGGAAGGTCGACGTGGATCCGTTCCGGCGGAGGACCTTGAGGTTGAGGTCGCTGGCCGCCGCGAGGCGCTTGAAGACTTCCACGCCAAGGCAGCCCGAGGCGCCGACGAGTACAACGTTCTTGATAGACATGGTGTTGGGGGCGGGTGGGGGTGTCGTGGGCGATGGAGGTTGCGTTCTGTTGTCCAAGTGGTGTAGAGCCTGTAGACTGTAAACAATGCTGAATGGATCAAGATTGCATGTTGTTCCGAGTTCTTGGAGGAGGTCGTCTAGAGGTACTTATATCCTCAATCGGACTGTCGACTCATGATCCCAGAGCCACGCCATTTCTCATCCTTCGGGCACATGGAGTCACGGACTGGGTTATTCATAGGTGCCTGATCACTCTCGCCTCTGGCTTAGACGCCATTCCACCAGCGTTCAAGGGCCAAGACGGTGTAGCGCGTCTCGGTGCGCGAGTGGGATACGTCGGCATCTCATGTGGGATGACCGCCGACCGCCGACCGCCTCCCATCCATGCCGGTGGGATGTGGGCTGGCGCTGGCGCTAGGCTCTTCAAAGTCCAATTCATCGCCTTTACGGAGGTCGGTACCAAAAATTATTGCTGATGCTTGAGAAGCGCTATTGGGGCCACCAACGAGAGGTACTGCAATGGCTTGCAGGGATATCATTGCTACAGTGCACTCGATAGCAGCTATGACCACCACTTAGTTGTTCAGACCCTTGCTACTCAACATGGATGTCGCTATCGTGGCGTGACCATAGGCCGTCATTCGAGCAAAGCTTAGGGTCGTAGCATGTTGGTTGCAGAGGGATCAGTCAGCCTCATGTAGAGCTGTTAGCTGCTCCCGCTTCTAGTGTCTTGGCCAGCAAGAATTTTTGGTACCGACCTCCGTAGTAGGACCAAAGTTGACAAATTCATCAAATCCGTCCGGCTCGGAATTAACTGCAAACCAACAAAGCCGATGCCAGGAACCGCACCCACTCTGCCCTCTCCACCAACCCCCATCCACCATCCCCATCCACCATCCCCATCCACCTATGCCCTCCTCCGCCGCGCCAGAAGCCGCTCCATCACACACCTGCCACTGCGGCAAGGTCTTCCTGCGCAAGGAGCATCTTCGTCGCCATCAGGCCACGCACTTTCAGCCGTCTTTTCAATGCCCCACGTGCGGACGCTCCTTCACCAGGAACGACGTGCTCAAGCGGCATCTTGTCGTGCACGCGTCGCGCAGCGGCAAAGGCTCGGCCAGAAACTGGCGCGCGTGCGATGCTTGCCACGAGAACAAGACAAAGTGCAATGGGGGCACGCCCTGCGGATTCTGTGTCAAGAAGGACTTGTGCTGCACGACAGACCGCCCTCAAGCTGCAAAGGATGACTCGACGCGGGTGCGTGGACGTGAGGCGGAAGAGACCCTGCCAGCAGAGATGCTCGTCCAACAAGAGGCTCGGAGCAGAGGGACGTCAGAAACCGTGTCGTACCATGTTGATCGAGAACCACGGGCTCAGTCCTTCGTCGAGCAGGGTGTTGCGCACGCTGGCCTCTCCCGCGTTCTCTCCGCCGTGTCCTCCCTATCAGCCGGTGCTGACTGGGCCACAGAGTCACGCCCCCACGAGCGGTACGATGAATGGATGTCATGCTGCTTGGACCGGTATCTGGGCAGGTTCCACGAGAGGTGGCCTGTCGTTCATGCGCCATCCTTTGATCGCACGACGGACAATGCCCTGCTGGTCGGTTCGATGACCATGGTGGGCTCCTGGTATCAGGACGGCTTGCTCGTGAGAGACAGCTTAATAGCCATCAACGACAGGATCATGAGCCGCGTGACCAAGTTGCTAGTAAGCCACAGTGCCCCTCTAGTAGTAAGTGGTGAGAGCACAGCCACTGACGGAATCTGTCAAGGCCAACGACGATCTGGACGAGAGCAAGGCCTGGCCGCTCGAGACGTATCAGATCGGCCTGCTGAACATTGTCTTCGCTTTTGAGACCGGTGTGAGTCAAGATCTTCCATATAAAAGCGCTGATACGAACGACTCTTTGTATTGACAGGCACACAGCAACAGACGCAGTTCGCCCCCGCGAGACGACTACTCAGTCTCATCTTGCTTTGCTTCCGGCACCGCCGCATCTTCGATCCAGACTCTGTCGAAAATCACAGAAACGTGCATTATCCGGGGACATTCGAGCCTTGGGTTTACAATCAGCGGAGCCAGTGGAAAAAGTAGGCCTGCATGCATCAGCATGGCACAAACGGCACGGCTAACACGACGGCAGCCTTTCTGCGGTTGCATTCAAGGTCGACACATACTTGGCCCTTTTGTTCAATGAACCGCCTCTGCTTCATGCCGAAGAATTACAGCTGAGTCTTCCCTGCACCTTCGCTTCCGAGAACGCCGCGGGCATCGTTCGATTCTTCCAGCGTGCCAAGAGAGAGCCCCCCGAGAGAGAGCACATTGCCGTGGCCGACTATGTGCTCTACCCGGAGTGGTTTGAGGAGCAAATGAGCCACACCGCTCTGGAAGATATCAACCTCGGCCTCCTGGGCTGCTACCGTGACATCTGGCGCCACGTGCAAAACCAAAGGGGGAACGGCCACGTGCGGCTGGTCTTGGCAGGGCCACTCTCCGAGAGACTCGAGCTTTGGAAATCAAAACTAGACGCCATTTCCCGCACACTGGGCGGAACAAGCAACACCGACGACACCGTCCGAAGAGGCCTCGCCATGTCCTACCTGTGCCTGGAAGAACCAGGCGATCCCGGCTGGGAGGCGTCCGTGCTGGCGCGCATGGCAGCGCACTTTATGAACGCAACAATGCTGTATCACATGCTTCACATGCACTTGACCATGGATGCGCGCGTCGTATATGCCTTTGCCATCGGCCGGTGGAGTCTTGTGAACACCGCCCACGTGCCCCAGAGTCTGTTCAACACGGCCGCGTTGCAGTCCTGGGCTCGGTGGCCGCCTGGTAGGGCCGCTGTTGTCCAGGCACTGCTGGCTCTTCGGAGCTACGAAAACGGCGCCTCCATGACTGCAGGTGGCACTAACCTGTGCTCCGACCCAATTGCTCACGTCAGCCTGGCCACAGCCGGCATGGTGCTGCGGGCTTGGTTCCAGGGGAGGGAGGTGGCCTGCTGTTGCTGTCCTGGTAGTACCATGGCGCTTCCCGAGCTGAATCTGGACGACGCCCAGGGCTGGATAGAGAATGGTGTGTCGGTGAGCGTGGCGGGCGTGGCCTTGTGCCGATGTCAGTGGACATGCTGGATGGGGAGATGTGTGGAGGCTCTGGTCAAAGGAGCTGCCCTGTGGGAGCTGAGAGCCGATGTGATCGAGACTCTGCGGGAGCCGATACCGTCTTTATCTTTGGATTCAGCTTAGGCGCAGGGGGAGGGAGGCCCATGTTGTCGACTTCTCTATTCGTGGGGACTCGGGTTGACGCAACATTTCATCACGCAGCACTGTCTACAAGTCAAGTCTGCAGCTGGTGATCCTATGACGAATTCAAACGGCCTTCTATTCCTGCTAGCTCTCCATCTCCGTAGACCAGGGAAATAGTTTTGTCTTAGTCCGACGAAATATCCATGCAGACATCGCAAAACGCCGCCACACCCTCAAAGTGTGCCACGCATCCCCCCCACTCGGAGACCAGCTCCATCGAATCAGACATTGGAGGGATGTCTGAGGAGATCTTTCGATCCTGATGATACACATCTTTCAGTGCCAGATGTACATGAAGTTTTCCCGTTCATGGAGTCCAATGTCTGGGTCATCAATATCCAACATCCAAACGTCCGCAATGGAGACAATCGACCGACTTTGGCCAGTGACTGATAGACAAGAAGAGCCTCCCCGATAGGCGACAACGGTGCTTTGGCCGCTACTTTCTTCGGAGCAGCGACGCGTCTTGTAGTCCATGGGCACTATGCTCCGCTCAGTAGGAGTGGAAGGGGAACGAGGGATGAAGTCGTACAACTCCCATCGCTGATCACCTGTTCCGCTGATCATTATATCCGTACCCAAGGCGCCCATATCTCCAGACTCGTCGTCCACGAGTAGTGTACCTCCGATTTTCGGGTCGTTGTCTAAAGCATAGCTAGCCATAGAGAATGCCGCTGCGTCGCACCTGTCCCCTGTGACATCTTCGCTAAGTGCGAACGAGTCGGTCGAAAGCTCACTGGCGACGGGAGAGGAGACGTCGGCATCGTCACTTCCAGTGAGAGCCTCCGCTTCAATCTCTTGTCCTGTGGCTTTGGGTGTCCCAGCTTCGTCTTCTGACTCTGCATCATACTCGAGACAGTAGGTCTTCCCGATGGCTGTAGAACCGATGTCTTCGTTATCAGGGGTTGCCGCTGACCTTTCCGGGGCCGACTCATGGCTCTCAGGGATACGGTCAATCCCTGCACTGTCAGATAGCGGCAATGTTGGCACCTGCGCTTGTCCACCGTTGTTCTGCACGTCGAGCTGTAGACTTCTCGTAAGCTGTTCAACCTTCTGGGTGAGTCGCTGCAATGCTGTTTGAGCATCCGGCGAAGACGGGCTTCCAACACGGTTCAGAGGCTTCTGGGACGCATCTTTATGGTTGATCAGATCCTGCTTTGGTGATACGCAACCGGACTTTTCGCCAGCTTTGCCTTCACCGCTCGTAGCAGTGCTTTGGTGACATGGCTCCGGAGATGCGCCCACATCCTGCGCAAAACTGGCAAGAAAGTCAGGTGCATTCAAATCAGCTGCCACGTCTCCCAGAGCGCTTTTCGTACCGTCTAGGCGAAAAGTTGGGTCAGAATCCGAGCCAGTGGTACAAGGCTCTGCTTCCTCCCGATCCGAGTATGCATCGTTCGACTCGGCCTCACCAGCGACGGATACGGATTCGTCGCTTGCAACGCTTGTTGTCTGGTCTTCTTCGTTGTCTTCTGCTTCGATCGGGGGAGATTGAAGTTTGTCAGCTGATGGATCTTGTAAAGCTGGAGGTGGCGGGTATCGGATCGCACCCTCAACAATCTCGGGAGCACCAGTCGCAAACAACCCTTCATCCTCGTCGCCGTTGTTGGCTCGGCATAAATTTACAACACGTCTAGTGGTATGGCCTTGGCTGCCCTCCATGTCCGTGGCGCCATCCGAGCTGACACTGGGTGTCCTTTCCTTTCTCTTCCCAAGATAGGGCATGGTCCCGATCTTGTGTAGCAGTTCATCGGGGGGATCAGGTCGAAGCAGCTTCATGATTCTCTTGGCAGGTGGCTCCACCCCTGATCGAGAACCATCCGATTCATAGTCGGAGAGTGACGCTTCCGATGCGCTTCGCTTCTTACCTGTACCGGCCATGGTTCGCAAAGACAGCATCTGCAGTGTATCTGTTCCTGGGTCGAGAAAGAGATATAATTTGGATATCGGGTTACTACAAGTCGACACACGCAGACATATTTATGTCGAGAGAGACTTTCCGTATAATCATGTTCTCGTCCATCGCTGCGCGAGTCCTTCAACTCTCCGCGTAAACGACAGTGAACTACCTCTCATCGCCACGAACTGCAACGACACCATGGACCAAGCGGAGCGAACAACACGACATGTGGCGAATCTCGGAACAACCCACTTGTACACAAGGTTTCGGGATCGAACTTCTTCTTCAACTCTTTTGCTCTGGGCCACTTGTCCTCAATGAGCCGTTCGCCTGTTCGGTGAGCTGGTCTCGCTGGAGGATAGGAGCCGTCGCGTTCGCAGATGATTCGACATCTTGTTCGCACCGCCTCAGTTAACAGATTAGGAGCTCGCCGAGGGAAAATGTTGGTCAGTTGTCAGCTATCCGTTTCTGGAGCGGATCAATTGCAGCCTGCGCGCCGTGCAATGTCCCATTCGACCTACTTCTAGGAACAGAACGCCTCATAGTCTTCATGATCATCATCATAATGCTGGCCCTTCCCATGACTCCCTTCGTAATCTCACGTACCACGATTGCTTATGCGGGAACGACACCTTCTTCTCCTTGGCGAAACCGCAGGCGTCGAGGTGTTTCAAGAAACTAAAAACGTCAGCGACAGGTGCGAAGCAGCACAGTATAGGACTGACCGCTCATTATCCACGCGCGGCTCCAGGACCACGTTCATCGTGCGCGGATCGGCCGTGAGACACCAGTGGACGAGGCCCGTCAACCACGCCGACACTCGCCCGCGTGCCCACTCCTCACCTATAAAGACATGCAGGCCGCGATCCCAATCGTCCGCCTCGCTCCCTAGGTGACGCCCGAGTATGTCCTCCTTCACCCAGTAGATTTCGAAATAGCCAAACGGCACTCCGTCCCAGAGGCCAATGACAGGGAACGAATGAGTCTGGCTCAGAGCACTGTTCAAGAACTGCGGGTGGTATTCGCCCCAGAATTTCTTGACCCGGGGGTTAGCCATCCACATCTGCATCAGGGATGTATCGCTTAGGGTACACAGGTGAGAGTGTTGCGGCGGCTTGGGCCCGACGGGACCCAGGTGAGGTACAGGCTTGGGCGAAGCGGATGCCACGCGGAAGGAGATGTACTGCCCGACGCTAGGCACAAACCGAGAGTAGAATGTCTCGCCCATTCGCACAGGCTTTGGGCGAAGAGGATGCCGGGTGCCATTGGTAAAGGTGTACTGCAGTGGCGGCGGAGGGTAGTACGTGGGCAAGTGCGAGGTCGAAAAGAATGGTCCTGTGGGGTGCCCTGACGATTGGAGCATGGTCGTCGGTATGGGGCCACCGGGCAGATCGAATTCGGCTCTGGTGCTGGTAGGCAGCGGTGACTGGGAGTGAGTCTGCCGATGGTGCGCTCCATGAGGCGGTTCGGTCCTCGTCGGCGAGGCGGACCGGCTGCCAGCAGGAGACCCAGGATACGAAGCCAGAGATCTGTTGGGCGCAAGGGTGAAGAGGAATTGGCGTCCGGGAATCTGCCAGAACATCCGCCGCGAGACGAACATGTCTGACCATTCGTCGCCGTTATCGTCCAAGCTCGTGCCCACCGAGGTGTTGTGGGACGCAATGAGACCCATCCTCTCCAGCTTGGGGATGAGGTTTTTACTCCTCAACACGCCGTCCCTCTTGACGTGCACGATCCACTCACCTTTCGGCTTTGCTGCGTCTGGGGTGCCCTTTGACGCCTCGCTGTCGAGATGGAGTGGCGGTTCCGGCTGGTGGAAGTACCAGTACAAGGTGACCCAGAGCATCATGGCGATTTGGCGGGTAGGGCTCGCTGCAGGCTTGAACTCACTCGACGACGGGTTGGAGATGGACGAGATGAACAGAGCGTCCTGGTTCAGCGTCGGCTTCTTGAACGGGTGTACGTTCCTTGGTGCTCGCAGCGAAGCTGGCAAGTAGTCATCATTGTTGCCCACAGCGTTCGCATCGTCCTCGGGACCTTCTGTGTGGAGGATGATCGTCCACCCTGCCGGGAACGCGTGGTGATGGTTACTGTTCAACTCATGGCTTTTGAAGCCGACGCCTCCAAATATAGCCATTGTCGTGAAGGTCTGCCCGTCGGGCAGTCGCATCGTTGGTTGCGAAGCCATGGCTCGTGAACATTGAAGCATCCAGATTCAAGCTCGCGCGTGTTGATCTGCGGGGCAGAGAGACGTTAACCTTAGCTTCCAATGACAGAGCGGGTATTTCCAGTTCTCCGGGAACTTTCCGCAGACGAAACATGCGGCACAAGTCGCTGTGATCAAATTGATACTCAATGCCCTTGCCAATACCTGGCCATTTTTTGGATTTATCGAGTCGCTCGCTGCAGTCTGATGTCAACATCCAGTCGGTTCACCATGTGTCTAACCAATTATCAGCCCAGAAACAGTGCGGTGTAGTGACTGCACTGTAGTCCATTCGGTCGAGTACGTAGCTAAGCCTACCCTGTACCGAGCGACGTGGTTCTTGTTACACGCATGTGCGTTGGGCATGTCATTGTCGTCAAAGAAGTTGCATGTCAGAAGTGTCTGTTCTACGGCGGTTGAGACCTTGAGGTATTATTTCTTGATGAGACAGTCTTGACAAGTCATCAGCTTCATGTTTCTGAGGATCGGATCTCGTGGCAGCTGAGAGGCCAAGGGCTGCCAAGCTGGTCTCGTAGCTTAGTGGTTAACCTACACCATCGCTGCGGTGGGAATCAAGCTTTTCCAAGGCGTGGCAGGGGTACTTAATACAGCCGCAATTCCGCATATCTTGGATACGCGGGTGTCAGGCTGTCAGCCATACATCATCCACTCAGAGCTCCGGGCTAGGTTTGTCTGCTAAGTTCAGCAAGTTCAGAGTCCTATTGCTGAACCCGACGATCACGTATTCGTCAAGAATGTGCCTGCGAGAACAGTTAAGCTAGTATGGTAAAAATGTGCCATCGATATCAGAAGGAGTGATCTACTTATATCGTGTGCTGACGTTGTTGTTGTTGTTGTCTGCGTATCGACGTGATGTGGATTTCGTGTATCTGCACTGCCGGGCTGTGGAATTGGGATTGAACCCCGTAGCTTCTGCTCCGGGAAGCTTGACGTCATCAGCATGTCGATGATGGATTCCCAACCAAGCAGGCGGCAGGCCTGTCAGCTCCAGTCCCTGAGTTTCGTCCAAGACGAAATGAAGCTTGACCGACTCGGTGCCCTAACTTAGGTCGTTAAATCCCCTCGGTGTCTGGCGTCCCAGCTGCTCCTCCATCTTCTCTACATACTTTCCCGTCATCCTCAAAACTGAGCACCGCCGACCTGCGATGAACGGTGCTTTCCGGCGCGTCGCAACACGCGTGCCAACGGCGGCGTTCAATAGTCAAACCTTGGCGTCCACGAGGCGAACTTTGAATCCGTTCTTGGCCACATCAGGCACCCTCCATGGCCAGGTGACATTGCCCGGCGCTACTAGGTGCTTCACCAACGTTCCATCCTCGAGAAGCTCCGAGGCCGATGAAAAAGCGAAATCGTTGAACAAGAAAGCAGCCGACGAGGCCGAGCGCCAGGTTACTGCCAGAGACGACGCGCAGCGCAAAGTCGACGACCGGCCATGGCAACGCGAAGAAACAGGCGAGCACAGCCAGCCGCCGGCCTCGTCGCCAGACCCTGCAAAGGGCGACGAGTCGAGAGGTTCGTCAAGATCCCATTCTGCAATCATTGCAGTGACGGAACCTAACATGTTAGCAGGACGTTTACTGACGACACCCACCCGACTACTCAAGTTGATCCTGCCGTTGCCATTCCATCCTGATCAAGTCTACATCAACCCAGAGAAGAAAGCGGATCAAAAGTATGGTTCTGAAAAGGTTGAACCTCTGGCACTTCTAGTGCATCCTCAACAGCCCCTGTCATATCTCGAGCGGCTGATTCAGGCCGAAATCCCCCCGTTGCAAGTCAAGGGAAACGAGAAGCTGCCAGGCATTGTCTTCCGCGCAGAAGCCGACCGGGAGGTGAGCGAGGGCAAAAAGGGCGCAGCAGATAACGTTGCATCCTACTCTGGATTGGGTCATGAGGCCGAGAAATCGGACGAGGAGAAGAACTGGGTTCGATGGAGCGGCAGCACAGAGGTCGGTGATTTCATCAGGGACGCGGCTCGTGGCCGTGAGTTTGCAATCGACATTGAGGGCCATGATGGAGAGCTGCGGGTTGCCGTGCCCAGCTTCAAGGACCGCACCTACTACATGCGCATGCGCCTGCGGAGGATGTCGAGGCAGATCAACTCCATGGCGGAGCTGAAGAAGGAGTGCGACATGCTCGCGCACAAGGGCGCGCATCGGATTGCGCAAAGCGGCTTTGGCGCTTTGGTGACCTGGTGGGGGGTCGTGTACTATGTCACGTTTCACACCGAGATGGGCTGGGATCTCGTCGAGCCGGTCACCTACCTGGCGGGGCTCACGACCATCATGGGTGGTTACCTCTGGTTCCTGTACATGAGTCGCGACCTCAGCTACAAAGCAGCCATGAACGTCACCGTCTCGCGGAGACAGAGCGCGCTGTACCAGGAGAGAGGCCTCGACCACGGGAAATGGGAGCACGCGGTGCAGGAGGCCAACGCCCTTCGCAGGGAGATCAAGGCCGTGGCAGCAGAGTACGACGCGGAATGGGACGAGATGAAGGACCTCGGCGGCGAAGAGGTCAAGGAGGCTCTAGAGCAGGAAAAGGAAGGTAAGGACGAAAAAGACGACAAGCAGGCGAAACAGGATGCCGCTGACAAGGCGAAGCAATCAGAGTAGAGAGGTGAGCGATCGGCCTCGTCGATCCGTCGCACGTTGCCGACGTCCCGCATTCACATTTCATTGTGCAATTAGCGTACATTTGATTTCATAGACCGACCATGTTGACCAATGTACCATTATTTTGTACCATTACTATATATACCATGATTGCTGCTGGACGCCTTGGCTGGACTGACAAACAATTAATTAGACTAGCATGTCCGCTATTTTAACTGCTAGAGACAGTCCAACGGCAGGCTGCTGTCGTTGCGCAGGGTCCAGGGTGAGCACCCCGCACCCGCCCGCCCTGGATTGTGAGTGTCAAAAACACGCCGAACAGCGCCAGGGCGAAATAGTGGTGCTGGCTCGGCGCCTTTTTTTACTACCAATGCCCCTCATGGAAATCAACAATACCTTCACCTTACTCGAACTTCTTAGCTCCCCCTCGTCGACGAGCCGATTGATTCTGTTGGCTCGACATCGAAACCCTTGATCCCGATTGTCCTCAATCAAGAGAGCGACAGGCACATTATCGCAATGGCCGACAACAAGGTATTTCGCGCGAGTACCACCGCGCCCGTCAACATTGCCGTTGTCAAGTACGAGCCCCTTTCATTTCCCACCGCCTCCTCTCCCAGACAATCGCTGACTATCAACCCCTAGATACTGGGGCAAGCGTGACCCAAAGCTCAACCTGCCAACCAACAGCTCGATCTCCGTGACCCTCTCCCAAGACGACCTGCGAACGCTCACCACGGCCTCCTGCTCTGCCTCGTACTCAGGAGACAGCTTGACTCTCAATGGCCAGTCCACCGACGTCTCTGGCGCGCGAACCCAAGCCTGCTTCCGCGAGCTGCGCGAACGTCGGGCGGCGATTGAGCAGAATGACTCTTTGCTCCCCAAGATCTCGACGCTGCCGTTGAAGGTCGTCTCCGAGAACAACTTCCCCACGGCCGCTGGTCTCGCCTCGTCAGCGGCCGGTTTTGCCGCCCTTGTAAGGGCCATCGCCAATCTGTATGAGCTGCCTGACTCACCGGAGGATCTCTCGAGAATCGCCCGTCAAGGCTCTGGGTCAGCCTGTCGCAGTTTGTTTGGTGGCTACGCTGCTTGGCGCATGGGCGACAAGGACGATGGCAGCGACTCGCAGGCCCAGCTGATTGCCCCCGCCTCCCACTGGCCCAACATGCGCGCCCTGATTCTCGTCGTCAACGCGGCTAAAAAGGACGTCCCGTCAACCTCTGGCATGCAGCAGACCGTCGCAACCTCCGGTCTCTTCCAGCAACGGATAGCGCACGTCGTGCCCGCTAACATGAAGCTCATGGAGGAGGCCATCCACAACAAGGACTTTGCCACATTCGCCGAGGTGACCATGCGCGAGTCCAACTCCTTCCACTCGTGTGCAGCCGACACCTACCCGCCCATCTTCTACATGAACGACGCCTCGCGAGCGGCCATTCGTGCGGTGGAGGCGCTCAATGCGGCGGCTGGAAAGACCATTGCTGCGTACACCTACGACGCCGGGCCGAACTGTGTCATCTACTTCCTGGAGGAGGACCAGGAGACTGTTGTTGGTGCTTTCTATAGGTTCTTGAGTGGCGTGTCTGGGTGGAAGGACAGCGCCGCCAAGGCCCAGTCCGCTGTCAACTTGCCCGAGAACATCGTGTCGATCCTCAAGGATGGCGTTGGTCGTGTTATCCAGACCAGTGTTGGCGAGGGTCCCCAGAAGACGGAGGAATACCTGATTGATGAAGCCGGCGCGACGGTTCAGCGATGAGCATTTTGTTACATTTAGAAGCAGAGTCGGCATTTAAACACGACACCACATGAGCAAGGCCCTTGACTTTGTTTACCAATCTTCACACCACTATTGTGCGTAATAATTCAATCCATTTGCATTTCTGAAGAACCTCACGTCATGGGGCAATTGATAGGCCCAAGTTCACCTCGTGTAACCCTGAATGCATAACTGCTGTGGTGGCACCGACCTGAGCTTCGCTGCCCCTCAACTTCACCTTCTCAACTGCACTTCCTCCCAGTTGATCTCGCACTTTTCAGTGATCAAACCTGAACCAGTCTACTTGGCGACTCCTAGGTCCTTTTGCGAGCTCCATTAACTGAGCAAGAGAGTTTCTTCGTTCCTTGTTGCATGACCTAGCCGAGCTCTTACCAACCATGGACGACCATGAAGAGCGCAAGGACCCCAAACTCTTGGGGGACGGAGACTTGTCTTCTGAAGGTATCTCTGATCTACTGAAACGAGGAAATGAAGTCGAGATCTTCGAGTGCGACAGATCTGGAAATGTGCGCACCAAGTGGCTTCACAAGCCTGATCACACCATCTTCTCAGTGAGTTCTCGTGGCAAGGCTTGATCCTTTCTGGACTAACACGCCAAGACGACCCATGACAGTTCGTCGACCTACTTCTGGCCGTCTATCTCTGCCATCCGTCAGGCAATCTACGACTCATTCCTACCTGTGGGATACCCGCACTCTGTGTCCGAAGACTACCTCGCCTATCAATTCTACGATTCCCTGCAAGCCTTCTTCTCGACTATCACCTCGCTTCTCGCCAACCGCGCTCTCCTACAGGGCCTTGGCGTCGGCGATGCGAACTCTTCTGCCACATTTGCCATGATGCTCACAATCCTCAAAGATGCCATGTCCAGAATCGCCACGATTGTGTTTGCCCATCGCTTCGGACTGCGCATCGAACCAGACGCCAAGCGATACCGCTTCTTGGCGGACTTGTTCAACGACACAGCATTCTTCCTGGAGCTGTACAGTCCTTACTTTGGACCTTGGGGCAAGGTTACAGCCCTGAGCATCGGCGAGGCTCTACGCGCGCTGTGCGGCGTCGCCGCAGGCGCCAGCAAGGCCGCTTTGAGCGTGCACTTTGCCAAGCACGAGAACCTCGCGGAACTCAACGCTAAGGAAGCCTCACAGGAGACAGCCGTGGGATTGGTTGGCCTGCTCGTGGGAACCGTTGTCGTCAAGTTCGTGGAAGGCCATTCAGCTGTGCTGTATCTCATGGTGGCCTTGGTGTTTGGACACTTGTGGGTGAATTACCTGGGTGTCTGTTGTGTTGCTATGAGCACGATCAACAGGCAACGGGCGACGCTCATCTTTGAGCGGATCCGGAAGAACGGAACCGTCCCGTCGCCTCGTGAGGTTGCGCAAGAGGAAAACATCCTGTTCTGGAAGCCTGTCTTGAAGAATCAGGATGGGACCATTGTTGGAACCCTGTCCATGGCCGAGAGCTACGGTCAAGCTCTCTCCGTACCCCCTGGCGGCCACGTCAGAGTCATTGATGGTAGTGGCTTTACCCTGTTCGCCAACGCGCATGCGCCTGACGGCCATCTCGACTTGCGCATTTTACTGCACGCCGACAGTATTCCCATGCAAGCTCTAACAGCATGGTTCGCGGCACTGGAGATTGGTCTGCACACCAAGCTCTCCGACCCACACGCTGTTGTGGCAGCTCTTCATCAACCCAAGGGCTACGCAGCTGCTTCGTCGCGCGCAATAGCTCAGGCAGGTTGGAACACGGAAGCCCAGTCATTGGAGACGGGCGCGCCTACCAGGCTTGCCCTGAGGGCTGCTCACCACAAGGAGGAGTGACCATGAGGTGTCGATGAGACCACTCATCTAGTTTGATGGCTCTTGTAATGGAAGTTTTGTTAGAGCTGAGATCAGCAATAAGAATACAGATACGTACACGAAATGACCGTCGTACAATACATCCTTCCCGGTCCAACAATGTGCCCCGAACGCCCGCAATGCTCTATATGCAGCTTTATGCTATTGATACATTCACCTCGGTGACTCAACAGGCATCATGCCAGGCCAGTCCACCTCATAGCCCTCATTTTGACGCCCTCCCACGTGTTCAATTTTGGTCTCACGTCGAGGTAGAAGCTGGGCCCTGCCTTGCCATCTCCCCGGCCGGAGTAGAAGTCGATAACATAGTCGACCCTCGTACCACAACGGTCAATGATCCAATCGTGTCTATCAAATGGGGCTGTGTATCCGAGGACTGTGTTGATACGGGCTGTCGGCGTCATTCGCTCCATCTTGTTTGCGAAGCTCTCCAATTTGGGGCCGCCGCATCTGCTACCGTCAGCTACCTGGAGTGGTATGGAGGATAGTGAGACTTACTGTGACGAAGCAAGATATGGTTGTTCCCATTTCAAGATTTGCGCCCATGCCCTCTCGTTGACTGCGTTGTGAATTGGGACCACAGTCTTCATATCTTTCGACCTCGCATCGTACCCTTTTCTCTTCATGGCGTCAAAGAACATCTTCTCAGAGGGGTACACCCAGTTTCCCGACGCATCTTTCCCCGATTCGATTTCTGCATTGGCGGAGGCGCCGTGTTCCACTGGGCAAGCAGACGGATTCGAAGTCGAGCGTGGGATGCTGGATACTACGCGGTTCGTGTCGAGGCCGTTTGTCGGTTTAGGGGGCGCGGCGCTCGATTGAGGCTCTGGCTGGGAGGACCAAAGGTACGATGTCAGACTTTGGGTCCATGATCGTGTGGGCGGCGCCGAGCTGTGATCGACAGGACACGCGGATGGCGGTGGTTGTGATGGTGACTTGGTTTTGGAGGCTTCCGCTGCGCGAGCCTGGGCGAGCCATTCTTCGCGAGCTTTGTGATCGACTGGGCACGCCGATTCGTCACCGGCCATGGTGAGTGGTATGAAAGACCACGGACGTGAAGTTCAAGTACTCGCAAAGGCGCAGTCGAGGAAAACGATTACCACCACAACGACAACGGGTCCTCGGAGTGGGGATTTGAAATTATTCCAGCCGAAGTTCTGCCGGCGCATCACCAGCGCTACCTCTTGTACGAACCCCATACAGAGTACTCCGTACGGCTTGTCCTATGTCGACTAACCTCATCGACTTTTGACATCGTGTTGAACGACCTCCATCCAAGCCAAGTCCTTCCACCCCTTGGCCCGCCAACTGCCATCTCACACTGGTCTCCGACAACCGTTTCCCCTCTGTTCTTCGTTGTTCCGCCGGCGACTGAGTGATCTGCTGGAATTACATCATTGGCACTGGAAACCCCACCACTTTACTGGACCCTTCACTTTGACAGCGTCCGCCAAGTCGCCCGCTGTGAACCTTCTCACCTAAAAGTTGCCTGCCAACGCGGATCTCGATGAGGACCAAAACCTCCGGCGCTCATGTCTACGCCATCAAGCAATCCGTGGCGCCTTTTGAGTTCCAAACCCCACCATGGGTGCCAGTGTTGGCTCCGCTCAAGCTCAAGTATGAAATCATCAAGCCGACGGCAGCGTCGCTTGCTCCAACCGTGAAGTCATCCTCAATGACGTCTTGTCGAAAACCTATTCTCGCAGTGAGCTATACTTAAGTAACATTTCCACGATCCTCCTCATTCTGGTCTCTATTACAATCCAATTCAAACCAATTCTTGTATCAAAATCATCAAGACAACCATCCCACAACCACAACCAACAACCTACAATCTTCACAATGTCTTCCTACGAGCAAATCGCCAAGCAGGCCGAGCAGGATCTCGGTACTGAGCAGAACCTCACCGGCAAGAACCGCCACGAAGGCCTTGCCGAGGCTGGTGTGAACTCGTACGCCGAGAAGAAGTTTGCCGACCACGGTGCTGAGCTCCTGACTGGCGATGAGCTGAGCACCAACGCTGGTTTCAACAAGCGCATCCCTCCCAGCGAGGGCGGTGTTCTTGATGACCGTGGCCGGTAAGTCCCCCCATCTCCCGTAGCCGTACATGGCCTAACAGACCCCAGCCAAACTCGCGGCCAGCACTTTGAGGGCAAGGGCGGTCCTCTTGATAAGCTTGAAGAGCGCGATGGCGGCAAGAATGACAACGATGTTGTCCCCGCCAACGTCCCCAAGGTTGACGGTCTCGGATCTGCCGACGATATTGCCACAAAGGGCCAGGCTGCCGCCACTGCCAACGTCGGCCGTCGCGCACCCGGTACTGGCGGTAGCCAGTACAACGGCAGTGACCTCTACAACCCCGAATCTGTCCCTGACAGCATCTCGGCGGAGGGTAATGTCGCCCCCGCCAGCGTCGTCGAAGCTAGCCGGGAGGCTGAGCAGCCCGAGAAGTTCGGTCCCGTGTAGAGAGTGTATTGTTGATGGAAAGCGAAGGCAATTTGGGCGTTCTGGGGCATATTGGGCAGGTTACATTATGAGTTACGGCATGATATGTGAGGTCTTTGAATGAAGACGAAGAAGTCTGGCCTGAAAGGATGTTTTGCAATCATACATGGACTCGTGATGAGCATTTGAACGTGACCATGTCAGGGCGTGCATCGATTCTGCGGCAGCTATCAGCCGCGCTTCTTATCGCGGTTATCCGATGTCGCGTGACGTTGTCTTTCCTGGCTGCGCCTGTCCCTTCAGCCAACCTCCAACCAAATACCCCTAGTCATCCGCTGACGGCCACGAAAACTCCTGCAATGGGTCGAAATAGAGACACCTTGAATCGCGAGCCATCTCCATCATGACGAATCGTACGACCTCATCCGCGGGGCTGCTACCGATGCCTGGAGCACCCTCCTCCTCCTGGGGCCTGTACACGGCCAGGATACAGTCACTTCTGCGGCACCCAGACATGAAAGTAGTCGTTGCGTTCTGGCTATTCGGTATTATACCAACCTCACTCTTGAGACGGGTTTGTACTAACAAGAATGGCCAGGCCTCATCAACAACGTTCTCTACGTCATCATCCTTTCTGCCGCCCAAGATCTCGTCGGATCCGTTCCCAAGGGCGTCGTCCTTCTCGCGGACGTATTGCCGTCGTTCCTCACAAAGCTGATCGCACCATACTTCATCCATCGAATCCCGTATAACATCCGAGTCCTCGTCTTCATCGCCCTCTCCGCGGTCGGCATGCTCATGGTCGCGCTCACACCGCCCTCCAAATCCGTGGCTGTGAAAATGGCCGGCGTGGTGCTGGCCAGCTTGAGCAGTGGGGGCGGTGAGCTCAGCTTTCTTGGACTGACACATTATTACGGGCAAGCCAGTCTCGCGGGATGGGGATCTGGGACAGGTGCAGCAGGGCTTGTGGGTGCCGGCTTGTACGTGGTCCTCACCGAGTGGTGGGGGTTCAGCGTCAAGGACAGCCTCCTTTTCTCCGCCTGCTTACCCGTGGTGATGTTTGTGAGCTTCTTTGTGATCCTGCCGAGGGGACCGTTACGTGATGCCACGAGGAGGAGGGAATACGACGCCTTGCCCGACGACGACGACGACGAAAGTGCGACGCGTGCTCCGCCCGAAACTGCCCTGTTGAACCCCGAGCCAGGTGCCGTGACTGCAGCGTATCCAGCCGGACGGCATCCCGGGGAGGCGCATTCGTTGACGGCCAACCTCAAGCGGGCCAGAGCCCTTGTCGTCCCTTATATGATGCCGCTGTTTCTCGTCTACGTGGCCGAATACACCATCAATCAAGGCGTGGCACCAACCCTCCTATTCCCGGTGGAGGAGTCGCCTTTCCGCGAATTCAGAGGCTTCTACCCATTTTACGGGTTCCTCTACCAGCTCGGTGTCTTCATATCCAGATCCTCGACTCCATTTATCCGGATACGTCATCTATACGTGCCATCGTTTCTGCAGATCGGCAATCTCGTGCTATTAACTCTGCATGCAGTGTACTTCTTCATACCCTCCGTCTACATCGTCTTTGTGGTCATCTTCTGGGAGGGCTTACTAGGCGGAGCGGTGTACGTGAATTGCTTCGCTGAGATACTGGAAAAAGTACCCTCAGAGGACAGAGAGTTCAGTTTGGGCGCTGCAACTGTGAGCGACAGCGGTGGCATATGCGTTGCTGCCTTGATTGGCATCGCTCTTGAGCCCCGGCTCTGCGCCTACCAAGTGGCCCATGGGAGAGACTGGTGTCGACAGATCAAAGCGTCGCATTCATAGATCATGATTTGGTGACCGAATTCATCAGCTTTTTGCCATGGCAGACCTCAGCATTGTCGCGTTTTCACGCTTGTGAGATGAACTTGCATCAAGCGTCGTCAGCAGGTACTTCGTAATACTGTCGCGATGGCCGTGCAAGTACAAGAAGACGTTGGCTGAACAGCCATATGATGTCTTCCTGGTCTGGTGCGTGTACGTATTCCGCAGCTGAAAACTAACGTCTTCCTTCACTTCGTATTTGGGGCTGCGCGTTGGACTCTGCTTCAGTGAGCCAAGGGTTCTCTACTGGCACCGACCTCGTATATTCGTATAGACTATCGCGTATAATTAGAGTCCCTGTTAGTTCATCCACATTGAGTTTGGGTGCAATGAGCACAGGGTCGTGACCAATCAGGGGGTGGTCGCTGCCCTCCCTTTCGGGTACCGCTTGGCTTGAGGCTTGCTGACAGATTTAGCAGGGAGACTCTCCGACCCGAGCAATTGGCCCTAGCCAGACCCACGGACAAATGCTTATGACAGATTGACATTGTGAGTCGAGGACGAAGGCCGCGCGCGACTGAAACGACCAACTTGAGTGGCATGTATCCAGAAGCAAAGTGCTCTAGTAATTGAAGGATGGCTGAACACGTCGAGAGTTTTGGCGTGCAAGCTTGACTGGCAGCCAAGTCGTGTCGCCCGTCACAGTGACTGAACGCGTCCGAATTGAAAGTCTGGGACCTGAGGGACGTACTGCCCTTCAGCCCAATCACATCCACGTGGACACCGCTTTTCCTCCCTTGGCGGGCATCAAAGACGCCTGTAGGCTGTGATTATGTCTCCAGCGGGCACGTCGGACGCTTCCAATGGCGCTGCAGCCCCCGATAAGGCAGTCGGGGACCCCAATTCCAACGGCAACCATTCCAACCAAGTTCTAACCACGGCTGACATGGGCCAGGCCTTTGCCAAGGCGCCACTGTGCCCCAAATTGCCATAATCCGGATGGCATACGCCCTGGAGTCGCTCTGGATCTTTTTCTTCGCCGCCCCCTTTTCCCACGAGTCTAGTCCTCGCCCAGAGGCCCGTCCCTGTGCAGCTTTCTCGACCTCGACGCCGTTTCTTCTTCGTCTTCATCGGTCGTCGGTATCATTCCTTCTCTGTTGCGACTGCTTTCTTTTCGTACCATACGCTCTGTAACCTTATCTCGTCTAATTAATATTCGCTGCGACGGGACTGGCGATTGCCTCTGCGCCCGCATCGACTGCTCCCTGATTGAGCAATTCGACCTCTCGCACTCGCACGATCACCACGCCCATCAAGCCACGCGACCGCAATAATGTTCGGCGCGCAGGCTCGTTCTAATAAGGCGGCAGTCCTCTTTGTCGGGGCTGTCGTCTTCATGGCCGTCTTCGTCGGCCTCGTCTACAACCACCTCGACTACTGGTCCGCCCCTGCTAAGTACGCCAAGCTTGCCGCGCGTTTGAGACGACGCCGCAGACCTGTGCCTCCTCAGTTGCTGACCGTGATCCAGGACTGCCGCACCCAATGTGCCCGCCGTTGTAGTCGATGACGAAAAGAGCAAGACACCCGCGCCCCCGGCACCCGAGTCCGAGTCTAACGCGGAGGCTCCCGCCATTCCCGAAGAGAGTTCCATCACCAACGCTCAGCTCCGCCAGACGTATCTGAAGGACATTTACAGCCCCAGCATCAAGCCCGATGCCAAGAAGTACAAGCCATGGGGTGCTTTCGAATGGGAGCTTCCAGGCGAGGCTTTCTACAAGGAAGGCCTCGGCGAGGACCTGTGCATCATCGATCTCGATAGCCGTGGCTTCCTCGAGCCCGGTCAGGTCTTCCACGGTGATCAGCTGATGAGCTGGGACAATGCCGACAAGCTGCACGGTCTTTCCACTGGGATTCTCAACCACTGGGTCTATGGTACGTTTTTGTGCACGCGAATGTTTTTGCAAACTTTGCTAATCGTCCACAGCCAAAATACACGGATACAAGTACTACTACATCGAAATTGACCAGTTCGAGGACCGTCGCGACTCCTGGAAGAAACCCCCCATCATGGCCGAGATCCTCAAGGACCACAAGACGTGCATCTACATGGACTCTGACGCCATCTTCCACCACATGGACCTTCCCTTTGAGTGGCTCATGAACTATTGGCAGATCAACCCTCAGAACAACTCCATGGCTCTCGCTTTCGACCCTGTTTCCGAGAAGAACACGGACAGGTTCGGCCAGGTGTACGTGAACACCGGCTTCATCGTCGTGCAAAACAACGAGAAGACCTTTGAGATTATGACCGAGTGGGAGGACTGCGCCAACGACGGCGGCAAGCACCCCGAATGCACCGAGTTCCGCACCAACGGCCCCGGCCACCCGACCGACCAGGGTGGCTTCGGAACCTACACCCGCTACGACTTTGAGGACGACATCAAGCAGCTCCCCTGCACGGAGGCCAATGGCTTCCTCGAGTCGCACTCGGGCTGCGCCGGCATCTTCATCAAGCATCTTTGGACCGGCAAAAAAGATTGGATCAAGATCACGATTGGCGAGCAGCTCCCCGGCCGATACCTCGAGGCCTTTCACGAGGGCTTCCTTGCTGAGAAGGAGTCTTACTACTTCACTGAGAAGGAGCTCTTTGACGGCAAGACACACCCCCAGGTGGCGGCGACACCCTGATCAGATCACTGCTTTTTTGCCTTGCATGTATGATTCGAGAGGGTCTGGTGTATATTTTTGGCTTATTTCGTCACGGCCTTGGGTTTCTTCACGTTTGCTCACGGAGTATTGCTGCCATCGGCTGGCTCACAGATTTGGGAAGAAGGTGTCCAGAATCTCGCCCACAGAGACATTTGATCTGCGCATTTAGACAGCAGGCCATGGGTGAGCCTGCCTTTTCTTAATTTACGGGGAAGCGGAATATGCTTGGTGAAGGGGAGGAGATCTCCCATCATTCTCGGGGTGGACGTAGGGATAGGCATTTCGCATGGCTGGTCGATCTATGAATACATGTTTTACGGTTACACTGGCGTCAATGAATTTGTACGTCTGGTTGCCCTGCCTTTACCGTGTTTCAACGTTCCGCAAGCTCACGCGTGTAAGCTCACGCATGCCTTTTCGCTGTCAACATCGATTCTCAGAAATACCCCATCGGTGGCTGTCCAGCGCTCCAGTTCTCCGCCACGCGCCCCCAGAAAGACTTCTTTCTCCCATGATTGTCCCTCGTCGCGCAGCAATGCCTGCACATGATGCCCGTTATCGCAATATGAGTTCCTCTTTCGTAGATACCCAACGCACACTTGACGCCGCGGGGCAAACGTGGATCGATTATGCCCCTTGCACATGGAACAGGGTTGTGGTCTCTGTAGTTGAAGACAGTGAGATCGCGGCCCTGTGTGCATGCTGAGCAGATGTTGTGGGAAGAATAAAGCAGGCACATGGCTAGGGGGGCCTCCTTTATTTCTGGAAAAGCCTTAATATGGGAATGCTGATTGGAAGACTTGATGGCTGTAAGAGCTGCGAGAAGGGTACTACTGTTGGTGAAGTTGAATCCACGGTGCGGGAGTGACAAGCTCACACCCATTTCAGGACGAGGTGAGTCGGTCTCTATACGTTTCACATGTCTCATAGAATGGTCGTTGTTGGTCGTCGCGATCGGGATCCAGGAGACTTTGTATTGTTCTCAGCAAGCGTCGACGAGCACAATCTTAGCCACTCGGGCGCTGTGACCGTTCTGAAATATGGCAATGGCAGTGCCTACAATGAGCGAGATCAATCATGGACAACGTGTACAGTTGGGCTATTCTTCCCCCCAAGCCGACTTGCACGAACAGCATCCGGCGCAGCATATTCGCATCCAGACGATAGCCTGTACGTGGACATTGGAACAGCCCATAGGAGTGATGATCCGCGTCGAGACGAGGTTGAGACTAAGTTTGAAGGGTCAGACCTCAAGCGCCAAAAAGGGAGCATCTAGCTTTGTCTTTGACAGTAGCCCACGTGGAATGCCACGAGCTACATGTAACTTCAGCCCCATTCTCTGGACTGAAAGCATAATCGGACTTGGTCCCAGGGAAGCTTGTTTCCCAGACTGCATCTCAAACTCGACCACCAGAGCCGCCTCTTCTGGAGTGAATGCCACCCCAGCATCGCGCTCGTTGGGCGCAATCGGCATGGCTCACCTAGTCCAGACAGCCAATGCTCATGAGATGAGTCCTCCATAGCACACCTTTAACTCAAGCAGCTACCATATGTAAAGAAAGTTGAGGCCACGATCAGTCTCATTCGCCTTTCGGCCCCTCTGACGTCTCGAGCTCGCCGTCTGCCCAGATGACAATGTTGTTGGGACAGTCCTCCATTTCCTTGAAGAACCCCACAATCTCCTCCTCGCTGTACCGCAGACTAAAGTGCATCAGGACAAAGATCGTCTTGGGCCACTTCCGAATGACCTTTTCCAAGTCTGTCCATAGCGTGTGCTTTGTCCGCGTTGCCTGCTCCCGATGCTCCTCGATGAGGAAGCTGCATTCTGTGATGACCACCGAGATTTCATTCCGCAGCCACTCTGGGTCCGAAGCCAGGACCGCCGTCGAAGTGTCGCCCAGAAAGGCAAATATGGGCACTGTGTACGGGTAGGTGATTTCAGCGCCCGATTCTTTCAGCTCTTTCAAATCATGCCCTGATCGCTCTTGGTACTCCTCCTTGAGCTTGTGTCGTGTGCTACAAAACACGTAGCCCACGCATGGAACGGTGTGGTCGCAATCGAAGACCTTTACCGACACGTCTTTGAGCCTGTGCAATTCCAGGATGTCGCCGTCCCTCACGCCATGCGTGGTGTGCGTATTTAACCAGGCTCTTTCGTTGGCAGTTCGACCCGGGTCATCCTTGTCTTCTTTTCCCTCTTGTTTCTTTGGCTCCATAACCATCTGTTCTGCATCCTCCGCCTTGATATCGCCCCCAAGATTCATCATGGTGTCAGCGAGAATGTAGTCGTTGAACGCCTTTTTCATCTGTGCGGGCACGTATACATCTGGCGGATTCTCTCGACTCACAAACGCCGGTGAGAGAAGCGCATGGTCGTTATGGCCATGCGTGATGAACACATGCCTAGGACGCAGTTTGTTGACACAGAGACCAGCGTCGAGCAAGACGTCGAGCTGCGGTATCACAAATGACGTGTGCCATGCGGCGCGAGATCTTCCAGTAAGGACATAATTCTGGTAGGGCTTTGGGAACCGCCATTCAAGAACATTGGATCTTGGCGATTGTGGTAGAGGCGTAGCAAAGTTCTTTTGAGGATGCGCCATGGTGATGCGCCGGCAGCAACGATGTCTTGGTAAGCTGGCAGAGGAACCTGCTCGGGGGTGGATGGAATCCGAGCTCGGCGTCCAGGCCAATCGCGAAACACGAGCAGCGAATGTGGAAGGACGAGTAAGTTTAGGGAGCCACCACAAGTTCATATGTTTCTATACGGTTGAGGTCCTAGGTATAGATCAGCAGTTCGAGATGACATGAGGCTGAAGGGGCAGGACGCGCGCATCGATTAGTTGTGACTCCATCGGCCGGCCGCCAGTCGGATCGTCAGTCGTCACAGTTCGGGACAAGTGGGGTAATACCCAGAATTTGAACAGACCGCGTCTTGATTTCCTTTTACCTGACGAGCGCGACCAACACGACCGTTTTCTGGCAACCGTCGCCATCGCGCGGCAGTGGGAGTCTCCATGTCGAGAGTCCTGCGAATATTGGTTCACTATGCTATAAACTATCTCAAAGTTATCGAATCATTCGCCAACACGACCCAGACGCGTCACAGTCGACACGTGCTTTTCAGCGATGCTCTATCGCTTGTTCATCCACACTTAAAATTTACGGCATTCATCTATCATATATTCCTCCGATCTCATTTGCGCGGCACGACAAAAAGCTCTAGACCTGAATCTGCTCCCAGTTGTTCTCGGGGTCGAGGTAGTACCACCGACTGTACTCCTCGGGCTTCTCCGCGGCAGGGAGGATCTCGGACTCGCTGGGCAGCTTGAAAGCTTCTGTCGTTTCCTCCTTGGGGATGTAGGTCGAGCAGAAGCGTGCATTGGAGGTCTGGTTGCGCACAATTTTGCCGGGCTTGCTCTTGCCCTTCATGAGATCCAGCCAGTAATCGTGCGACTCGCTGAGGACCTGCTGAGCAAAGGTGGCGTTTTGGTAATCCTCGCCAAGAATGGTGTTTGTGCCGTCACCCTTGACGACCTTGTAGTAGATGAACCAGTCGTACATCTGCTGGCGGACACCAGGGCGGTACTTGTCGAGGTCCTCCACGGCTGTTTCTTGTTAGCGACTTGCTCATGGCGCGTTACAGGAAGATTGACTTACACTCGACCTTGGAGGCAACAGGGTCCTCGACGTCAATGGCAATGACCTTCCAGTCGGTGGCCTCGTCGTCAATCATGGCCAGGGCACCCAGCACCTTGACCTTCTTGACCTGGCCAATGTAGCTGGGCGGTAGCTCGCTGATATCGAATATGTCCACCGGGTCGTTGTCGCCGGGATAGCCAGTGAATGGGTGGTCGTGGTTCTTGTCCTCCCATGTCTGGGGGATGGAGCCGTAGTTGAAGGGGTAGGTCTTGTGAGGCCACACGCTGTAGACGAAGCGGGGCAGGTCATTCTTCTCATCATGGAAAATGGGATTGAGGGGCTCATCGCGCTTTGTCTCAATCTTGCCATCGGTCCACCGAGGGATCTCGGTGTAGTAGTGGATGATGCTCTTGTCCTCGGGGTCGGGGTACAGAGGAATATCATGCCAGAAGGAGATGGGCTCCCCGTCCTTCTCGAGCCAGATGCGCCACTCGAGAGTGTTTCGAGCACCGACCTCACGAAGCGAGAGGCCCTTGACGTCAAAGGGCTTGCTTGCAACAGCCGTAGCTCCAACTACGGGGAGAGCCGCCAGCAGGCGAACAACATTGGATGTGATAATCATCTTGACGGATGGACACCGGCAGGGAATGGCAACTGAGAGATTCGAATAACAGCCAGAGACGAATCGATCTGGCACACGATCACTTCGAAGGAGTGGGCAACTTTATGTAACGCTGTTGGTTGCCAACATGGCGGGCGTCCACCCGCCCAGCCTTGCGGATCTCGTGCAACTCGAGATGATCCTGCCAGGCTTGGCCTCGCGCCACTCCTCACACGTTAAGCACGTTCGTGGTTTCTAGCCGCAGCGCATGGTAACGACTACGAATCAGTGAAAAATTGTCCGCCGTCGTGCACGTGGGCTTGTTCCTGACGACAAGGCAGAGGCATGCCCTGCGAAAGTGAATCCGCTGTGGAGAAGGATCGCGGGCTGTTTGTCTGTGGCCTTGTCCCTGCAGCAGTGCAGACCCTGGTCGCCTCGATCCCCCACTGAGAGTTAGAGGTGAAAGCACGTGGGGTCCAGCTTGAACTCGAGAAACATGAATGCGCAAGACAAGACCGCCCAAAGAGGAAGATCGCAAGATCAGGCTTGAGGACCGATGGAGGGCAGCTTGCAATGCAACAATACTGTAGATTCCGTTAGGGTCGTCTACGAGCGGGGCATCAATCTCGTTGGAGATGTGCGCAAACATGTTCATACCATACAAGACGTTTGTTTGTACCAAACTTGAATTTCGTCAAGCAATGGAAACAGAACCATCAATCCTGACAGTGTGCGATCGAGTCGAGCAGCTCAGCTCACAGCCAAGCTCCTGGCAGATGCCGCTGACCCGGGCTAAGAAGTCCACGCCTTGGGGCTCTCGCGCTCGTTGAAGCACCACGTGTCAGCATGGCTTCTAGAATTGCACTGAGTTGCTGACCCCCACGAGGCAATCCGAAGTGAAAAGTTCCAACCGCAACTATCGGCCCCCCCCGCCCCCTCTAAAAAAAAACCTTCTGTGCAATAAACTGTCGCCATGCTTGTTTTGGCGCCGGTCGGAATGGCGAGATCCGCCTTCTCGCCCGCCACTACTTCATTTCTCTTGACGACGCAGAGCGCAGGTGCGCCACCAACAATTCACGCTTAACGACTGGTTTGTCCCGTAAGGCTCGGGCGGCTTCTTCTTCTCGAACTGTTTCAGAAGATGTACGCCGGGCGGCGTGCTAGGACCCAGCCGCACGTATTTTATCAAGCGGACAAGCGCACTAGTGAAACTCGTGCGGTTTATCGAGCAGATGCCTGCACCCATCAAGCAAAGAGAGACAAGATGTATTAACTGTCGATCATTTATCTGCAGTTGCCATTGATTTGGGCCCACCTACGCAGTGGCGGTGGGCATGGTTGAGGGTGAACGCAACAATGAGAGCGTCCATCACTATCTGGTCTCTTCATGCGTCGAATTTGGTCCTTTGAATAAATCTTGAGTAAGAACCTGACTATCTCCATGCATAAAAGAGAGGCTCTATCTCGAAACCAGCTCTTTGGGAGGGTTCATTGACCGAGACACGCCTCTAATGAAGCTGCCATTTGTCAAAACATTGGCGCACATGGGAATGACGTTGCCAATATCATTCCTGATATATGCAAGGCCGTCTTCCCAGACGAGACCTATAGCAATGGCAATCCTGTCCATCGCTGAGTTCTCTGGCACAATGTTCTTAAGATGACATCTTCCATCTACTGCTCACTCAGACGCCCAAACGAACCAACCATTTCCTCCGGTTTCTGCTCTCTCAGCCACGTCCTCTCAACTTCCAGACTGTTTTTCCCCAGGTCTTGCCAGTCGAGCTGGCTCCATTTCTCCGGGGCCTCCATTGCCTGCTGAAAGTGCTTCATGGCGAGCACGCACTGTTCCGCCCAGCGCTGCGGACTGATCTTGCCGACACCGGTGGCCAGCGGTGTCATCAGAATGCTTCCAATCTTATGATTCGGATTGGCGTCGTTGTGTTTGGAGATTGTGACGAGAAGAGACCAGATGCAGTTGTATACAACCTCCCGATTCCAGCGCACGTCGGCTGGGACACGCATGGTCGGGCACAAGGCTACGCTCTTAGTGCCCCAGAGGTTCCGGGAGCGCGTGCCGAACTCGGGAGGGATCTCGACCAGTGTACACGTTCCTGGCGGCGCATATCCCCTCCACTGCTGGTACAAAACCCTCTGTGCGACGCTGGTCAGAGCATCATAGTCATCTCTAGGCGAGAAGGCGCGAGAGATGGCATCATCAAACGCGCCATCGAGTTTCCCATACGAGTTTGCGGGCGAGACAACCGTGTCAAATTTGACCCTCTCGTCCAGGTCGGCGAGGGTGCAGTTGTGGATGGTGATATCGATGGACTTGTCCAGGTTGAGCTTCTCGCGGGCCGCATTGAATGCGTCGCCGTCTGTAGATTGCCTGCATAGCAGGTGAATCTTGGGGAAATGCGGATTGGACGACATGCTCGTTGATTGGGTGCGAATAGTAGTAGTATAGAAGCCTGGGCACGAAATTCTTCGAGTTTGTGATTTAATTTGAGATTGTGTTCTAGTGTTGGGACTTGTAACATCAGAGTGCAGAGACAGACCGTCAGACGTGCGTACCGCACGTTTAAGTATGCCGCCAAAGCGGCAGGGAGAGCCAGAACAGTACACGTCAACATACCGACATCCGGGTCCTCACTTAGGCATCCATGACTGCAAAGTTTTCAATCAATTTCTCTATCAAGAGAGCTGAGATCATTTTCTTCGTCACACGTCATCCACACTTGGACACTTATGCTCTAGCCAAGTGTCTGGTTGGGTGGACCTCCACCAACATCTACCTTGAAAGCCACTGTTTGTTGGTGTATATCACCTCATGAATTACCATGCCCCTTCTTTAGGCAAGAATAGGATCGTACCGCACAACAAGTACCAAGCCTTGCGTGTTGTCTCGGCCAGTCCATACTGCGTACATGTACTTGATCACCTCATTGACGTTTGAAGTCGATTCTCTGTTGGACGGGCTGCTCCACGTCCCAGACCTCAATGGGCAGCATTTCGACTTCTCCCATTTTCTCGCCGCGCTCGTACACGCCTGCGTGAATGGTCCACGAGGAGTCGACGGCCTTCTCGATGAAGTAGACGTTGTTGAGTCTGAACTTGTAGGCACCCCAAGGACACAGCAGGTGCTTCTTCCCTGTGATTGTGAGGTCGCCTCGTAAAATCTCGGACGTGGGCTTGTCATAGGGCTGCGCGCTTCGCTTTGAGATTGTTAGAACGAGTGTAGCTGGGGGGGAGCCGTAGGGGATAGGTTCGTCGCGCCAGTACTCGATGACAGGAACCGGCAGGAGGGTCTCGTTGGCGTGCCAGCGCGTGGAAGGATGGTCAACAATGTTGAGTGTCATATTGTTGTGCATGAAGTTTCTTATGGTTTTCTTTTCGAATGCTTCTTGGCTGTACTCGGCGAAAGACTTGCCCATGAGCAGCAGTGTTGTGGGAAAGGGGGGTTACATAGCAGGTCACAAAGTGCCGACATCGGCGCACCTTGTGAACCAAGGGAAAGAGGTGAATCAAGGGTTTTGGACTGATTATCAGATGATATGTTTCTTCTGGATGTTGGGCGTTGAGCTTCGTCCGATCCATAGCTTGGCCCAAATCCAGGACGACAAGTGTGGTCGATCTATTGGCTACTCGAGCAGCTTGCTGGATGACAACAGTCGGGGGCTGATCAGAGAATATAGCTGAAAGTAACTTCATCTCAACAACAGAGTCTTTATGCCCCTTGAGTCTGTGCAGCTCTCGGGAAGTACTTAGCAAACAGGGCATTGCAATCTGCGGGCCGGAGCTCGTACCAGGTAGTGTTGCCAACACTGGCCGATATCATAGCCATATCGATTCTGATTGGGGCCATTATTCCACAATTTCATCCTAGAATCTGCTAATTTTTCTTCGACTCCTCTCCAGGCCTGGATACGAATGCCCGTGATCTTGATCTCTGTGATCAGAGGAGAGATCCTCATGGCGGTAGTCAGAAACAGGTGACTATCCTGCACAACATGGACCATCGACCACGTATCACCGCCAAAACCGCCGATACTGAGACAATGTACAATAGTGTTTCAGCTGCGGGTGAGGCGAAGCAAGCAAGGGTGAGTTGTCTTGACCAAGCGCGAGAAACAAATGCGTCCCTTTGTGGTCGGTGAAAACGTCTGGAAGGTTCATCCCGGATGTATGGTTACGCAAAGTACCGACTAAGCATCAATCATGAAGTCTTCCGCTCAATAAGTGTTCGATACCGTAGCACAGACAATCTGTCAATAGAATAGCAGTCGAACATCGAGGTTTTGCTCTGATAGAACAAACACTCAGAAAATGGGAACGGTAAGAAGAATATGTCATTGCTGCCCAGCGTGGTGTGATGAGTGACGCACGTGATACAGGTGGGGCGAGGGACCGCGGGGCAGATCCCGCCCGAGCCAACCCCTCCAAAACTTGACAATTCGACGAGGCACGCGCGCAAGCTTTGTTCTCCCGAGTCAAGCCCTTTGCAATATTCCGACACCAGCAAGATGGGCGCCCTCGACATTGAGACACTCGTCCCGGCCATCGTTGCCGCCGACTTCAAGACCCTCGAGCCGCACCTGCTTACTCTCGAGAAGCACCTGACCCTTCGCACCTACATCGCCGGCTACGACCTCTCCGACGCCGACAAGAAAGTCTGGTCGGCCCTCCGGAACAACAAGGTAGCCATTGGGCTGATCCGAAAGGGTCAGTTCGCGAGCGTGACGAGATGGTTCAACCACATTGAACAGGCGCATCCCGAGGTCAAGGAGGAGGCCGTACCCAAGCCTAACAAGAACAAGGGTGGAGCCAACTACAACATTCCTCTCCCTAATGCCGAGAATGGCGTTGTCACTCGCTTCCCACCCGAGCCCTCAGGCTACATGCACATCGGCCACACAAAGGCTGCCCTTCTCAACGACTACTTTGCCAACGAGGCCTTTGACGGCAAGATGATCCTCCGTTTCGACGACACCAACCCGAGCAAGGAGAAGCAGGAGTACCAGGACTCCATCGTGGAGGACACCAAGAACCTCGGCGTCAAGATCGATCGCATCACCCACACGAGTGATTACTTCAAGGAGATCTACGAGCATGCCGAGAAGCTCATCAAGAGCGGCAACGCCTACGCAGATGACACGGAGCCCGAGATCCAGAAGGAGGACCGCATGAACCGCCGAGCGAGCAAGTGCCGTGACCGTCCTGCCGAGGAGTCGCTGGCGATGCTGGAGGAGATGAAGAATGGAACCGACCTGGGAAGGAAACACTGCATCCGCGCCCGTATCCAGTTCGACTCAAGCAACGGTGCCATGCGTGACCCCATCATCTACCGCTTCCCCAACTGGGCGGACAAGGAGCCCGCACCTCACCACCGCACTGGATGGGAGTGGAACATTTACCCGACCTATGACTTTGCCTGCCCCATCGTCGACAGCCTCGAGGGTGTCACCCATGCTCTGCGCACGACGGAGTACGCCGACCGCAATGAGCAGTACCACTGGTTCCTGAACGCGCTTGACATCCGTCGCGTCAACCTCTGGGAGTTCTCCCGCATCAACTTCATCCGGACATTCCTCTCAAAGCGCAAGCTTTCCAAGGTTGTCGACAGCGGCAAGGTCAGCGGCTGGGACGACCCCCGCATGCCCACCGTCCGCGGTATCCTCCGCCGTGGACTGACGACTGCGGCTCTGCGCGAGTTCATGGTCAAGCAAGGCCCTTCCCGCAACATTGTCAACATGGATTGGCACGCTCTGTGGGCCATCAACAAGCGCATCCTCGACCCTGTCGTGCCGCGTTTCACCGCGATCGAGAAGCAGGATGCTATCCTGGCCACACTGACCGGTGGACCTGAGGCTCCTTACTACGAGGATCGCCCCCGTCACCAGAAGAACCCTGATGTCGGTACCAAGCCTGTGCGCTTCAGCAGCAAGGTCTGGCTCGAACAGGTTGACGTACTGACCCTTGCCCCTGAGGAGGAGTTCACCCTCATGCAGTGGGGCAACGCCATTGTCAAGGGTCTCGACAAGGCGTCGGCACCCATCAAGGAGCTGCAGCTGCAACTGCACCTCGAGGGTGACTTCAAGAAGACGGAGAAGAAGATCACATGGCTGTCGGAGAACCCTGACCTGCTGGAGGTTGAGCTGTGGGACTTTGACTACCTCATCACCAAGGATTCGCTGGATCCCGAGGACAACCTGGACGATTTCCTGAACCCCAAGACGGAATCCATGAGCCTCGCGCTCTGCGACCCCACCGTCAAGGAGCTCAAGGCTGGCGAGTTTCTGCAGCTCGAGAGGAAGGGCTATTTCCGTGTCGACAAGGCGGCGGGCGAGGGCCCTGAGGGACGGGCTGTTTTGTTCAAGGTGCCGGCTGGCGGGAAGTGAGGATCACGTTTACAGCTTAGATGAATAAAAAATGTCCAAAGAAGCTCCCTGCGCTGCTGTGATTAGAGATCACTGGAGCTAACAAACGACATTTCGACAACCTTCCAATCATCACCGCCAAAGTCAAACGTTTGTCCCTGTGAGAGGTCACTGGCAGACAAGATCTGGTGGCATGGCAAACTGCCAGTGCCCATCCCCAGAACCTTCTCCCACCCACATTGACCAAACTGCCATCTCTCCACGCTGATGGCTCCCGCTTTTCTGAGGAGGCCCTGGCAGTACTGCCCTGCCAGAACCACCGAGCCCCTGGTGTCGTTGCCCTTGTCCATCTGCACCACCACACTCCGAATCTTGTCGCCCGACAGGGGCAACACTTGCACATCTCTCCACAGCTCCTCGTATTCCGTCTCCTTGCCCGTGGCAGGATTGAGCATGACACCTTTCTCTAGCGTCGTGCCATCGGGCTGCGTGTGATTGTCCCCTTCATCCGCGACGCCATCGGTGTCCGTTGTGCGCGAGTCAATCCAGTGCGCCCAGCGACCGCGCGTGTGGTTACCTGCGCGCTCGTAGGAGGACGTGCCCGCGATAGCCCAGTCAAGCTGGTCGGGCGTCAACTGGACTGTCTCTGCGGATGGTGATGGCCAGTCGGTTGGTGCTGAGGCGGGGCGGAGGGCGCGAATGTCCACAAAGTGACTGCCGGGGGAGGTGACGACAATGGTGGAGGTTGGCTCGGTGGCGTCGTCGGGGAGCCAGCGGATGTACTCGCGTAGGGATATGCTCATGATGGTTGTTGATCGGTGTTTTGGGGATGGTGAGGTGAAGTTGACAACATGAAGCTGTTCTGCCTCCAAGTTCCACGTCACTGACAACTGTCAGGTTGATGTGGAGATGCCGCAACTGGAGTCTCGACTTTCGAAGAGTGACGTGCAGATTCCAGTCGGATGCAAATATGAGTGACTGGCCGGTTTGCTCCCTTCACGCGATGAGGAATATTTCTTGTGTACGCGTTTTTTGACTTATCGCCATCACACCATTGCTACGGTCTCTGGGGTACACCGTCACCCGTGCACACAAGCTCGGCCTCTGCCGCACGGGTTTCCTTTCCCCTCTTCGATTCTCAATTTTTTCCTGAAGAAACCACGACGAGAACATGAAAGGCAACAAAGAGACGTGGAGTGTGTCCGAGCCTCTGAGTCTGACTCCAGTTCTGAAAGGCCCTCTAACCATCGCTATTTCCACAAAAAGGACATTCATCGGATGCCACGCACCACGTTCTAAACGATCATTAACTTCAAAACCCGAGACTGAAGATAGAAAGGAATCGAACATGAAGAGCAACATGGAGTACCAATACTCCTGTGGCGTTTGTATATGGTGCAAGATGGATGAAGCATTCATGGATTCAGTTGAGTGATCCTTTTCTGACAGGTACTTGACATGGCAACGCTGCGCAAGATGCAGGCGTCAGCCACGCTGCTTGAGGCGACTTCCAGTCGAACGCTCTGAGGTATAGTGCTACGGGATGGAATTGCGCTCTCTGATATTTATTGGAACAGGATAGATCCAGCTTGTACTGCTTAGCCTGATGCCGATTCTGTTAGGGGCGCACTGCAGGACCCTCATGTCAACGTCGGGTTGCGACTCTCCCTCCGCCAATGAGCATGGACGGCTGTACAGAATTGTAGACATTTTCAACATCCAGACGCCTTTCATGTCTGGTGGATATCCTGGGGTCCTTCACCTGGGGTAACAAGAGACTGTACTTGGAGAAGTGACAGACCCCGCAAAAGTCGACACTCGCGACGCGGATGAGGTGCCGTCTTGTGACTCTTGTCCACTTGAAAGTTGGATTGGACATAATTCTGGGGGCCTGGAGAGGTCATCATTCAACGGATCCAAGTCCGAGACATGGACTGGCGATGGATCCGGAAATGTAGGCAGCTTGGCCTGTCCATGGACCTCTAGAGTATGAGATCGGCTTTCTCACCGATCCCCAACAACGTTCTTGCACAATCAGACTCCATTGCGGACCTTGCCCCACGGGGCTCATGTGGGGTCGAGCTCGGTTCCCCAGACTCATCAGAGGCGGACCGAAAGAACCGGGGTTGTTCTCGAGTCAATCGAGGGACAACGGCGTGGTTGGAACACAGTGTACATATAGCCTCCTTGTTCTTGACATGCCGACGAGTTCCTTCCGCTGGCCCTCTCATCACCAGCAGACAGGTTGATCAGCCACTGCTATCACTCTTTACAAGAAAGACCCCAGAGAGATCTTCAACAAGAGGCTTCTTCTTCTGGCGTTGACGACTGCCTGTGCAGGCTGCGCCTATGAATTCGACCAAGGCAATATTGGCGGTGTCCTCACATTCCCTGCCTTCCGCTCGACCTTTGGGAACGACGAGCTCTCAGATGAAGCTGTAGACGAGAGAGAGGGCGTTGTGGCAGGCATGCGTGCGTATTTCATGTTTTCCTGGACAATAGCGAGAACGCCAGCCCTTCGTTCCTTACTGTACTGACCTTTGTACTGTGCAGTTTCGGCCGGCGGCGCTGGAGGTGCCCACATTGCGGCCCCTCTTGCTGACTTCCTCGGCCGCAAGTACGCCATCGCCATCATGAGCGCTGTCTTCATGCTCGGCGCTGCCCTGCAAGAAGTCCCTCTCCTGGACGCCATGTATGCTGGCCGATCCCTGGCCGGATTGCCTATCGGTGCCACGTCCATGGTACGCTTCATCTTATACATACCCCCTGGCAAGATGCGTCTGCTGACAACCCAACCAGCTGTCACTTCAGTTCCTGGCAGAGAACTCGCCTAAGTCCATCCGTGGCGCACTGACGACCTCATACAGCCTCATGATCATCATGGCGCTCGCTCTGGCCTTTTGGATCAACTACGGTATCAGCCGCTGGCCAGAGGCGCATTTCAAGACGAACAAGTCTTGGCAACTGTCCCTCGGCACAGATGATACCAGCAGGTTCCGTCATGATTTCTGTTTGGTGGAAGGCCGAGTTTCCATGGAGTTGTCGATCCGCGCACTGACAGCATCCAGTCCCCATCGGGACGCCGCGTGCTCTGATTGCCCGAGGAAAGGACGAAGAAGGACTCAAGAACCTCTGCAAGCTCCGTCAGCTGCCAGCTGAGCACCCCTACGTCCAGCACGGATACAACGAAATCGTGGCACAGACCGAGAGCGAGCAGAGCAGCGCCAGGAGCTTCAACTACATTGCCGTGTTCAAGTCGCTGGCATGCAGCGCGACCAACCGATGTCGCTTCCTCCTCTCGATGCTGTTGTTCCTCTTGCAGAAGCTGACTGGTATCGACGCCTTCAACTACTTTGCGCCTCAAACCTTCACCATGATTGGTGTTCCAGCCGGTTCAAGCTAGCTATTGACTGTTGGTGTGTATGGCATTTTCAAACTGACGGCTACCATCATCTATGCGTCATTCATCGCCGACCGCCTCGGCCGCCGCATCCCGCTCCTCGTCAAAGGGACAGTCCAGAGCTAGGCTATGCTGTACATGGGTCTGTACCTTCGATTCGGCAACGTGGAAGCTGGCGCTGGGACTAACGCTGGAGACATCGTCGGCATCATCTTGTCAGTCTATAAACGCCAGAATGAACGTGAAAATGTGCTTACTTCCCCGCAGCATCCAGCTATATGCCATGGTGGCGGGCGCCTACAACTTGAATACCCGGATTCCCGCGACCCATCGCGTTGGATACCCGCCCTTCCTGCATCCAGGTGCAGGTCACCACGAACGCTAGTAGCGGGCGCCGACCGCCGGATATCCGTGGTAAAAATCTAAACCTGCTAGGCAACGCACCTGAGATGCCAAACAACTCAGACCTGACAGCATGAATGAAGCCTGTGTCCATGGCATGGATGCCGCCACAGCCAGCACCAGCCTCCAACTACCGCAGGCCTACAAAGGCGCCAGCAGCAGAGTCACGCGCTCGTCGCTGGCCTGTCTGCCATGCCGCTCCCGCCACCTGAAGTGTGACAGCCGCCGGCCCCGCTGCGGCCGTTGCGTCGAGGCCGAGAAAGATTGTGACTACGCCCAGTCTCGCCGAGGCGGACTCGACCGGGCTGCCCTGGCCGAGAGGCGGAAGCGACTTGCGACCGCGCAGGCTCAGAATGCCGGCCTGCCACTCGGCTCTGCCCCAGACCGAGACACCGGGATCAGGATCAACATCCCACAGACTATTTGCATTACTAATGATCCATGGGCCGGCCCTGGGCTTGGGTTCGGGAGACCCGATACAAGCTCCCCGACACCTGCATCATCCGACCTGGACGGCAATGCCATCGAGTCAGATGCGCTGATACATCTCTACTATAGCAACTTTCACAGCCTTCATCCCTTCGTTCCCCCACGCAAACATCTCATCAGACTGTGCCAGGATGAGAGCAGGTGGCCCAGCTGGAAGCCCCTCGTCGCTACGCTCCGTCTGGTCGGCCACCTCTACGGCTCGCATGAGTGGTCCTCCGCGCTGGAGGCCAACGTTCTCGACTGCCTCTCCCACTCTTCACAGCCAGATCCAATCCTGGTGCAAGCCCGTCTGCTGTTCTCAATGGTTCTCTTCTGGCACGGATTCATGTCTGGGGCCAAGCGCGAGATGGACATGGCCGCCCAAGGTGCTCTTGAGATCGGCCTCTTTCGACGCGAGTTTGCAGCCAACCACGGGGACAGGGATCCGGTGCTGCAGGAAAGCTGGAGGAGGACGTGGTGGATGTTGTATGTCGCAGATGCATATTACGCGGGCACGCTAGGCACTACAGACCTCGCTGTCAGCGACGTGGAAGCCACCGTCGAGCTGCCGTGTGAGGAGTCCGAGTACGAGTCAGGGGTGAGTGATGATTCCACATTTCACGGCATGGATTCGTTTGTCTGATATCCACCCAGGACATCCCCCTGTCTAAGACCATGGACGACTTTGAATGCCGTGAATTTGAGCCAGAAACCACGTGCTTCTCGTCCTTCGCCTATCTCATCGGTGCCACCCAATGCGCATCTCTAGCATTATTGCAGACACTGGGCGATGCAACAGGAGGCTCTTCAACTCAAGTCCACCAAGCTGCGGATGCGGTCATGGACGGATGGCTCCTCCTGCTGCCAGAGCACAAGAGGCAACTCATGAACAAGGCTGGTGAGGTCGATGAGCTCATGTTCCAGGCTCACCTGATGATCCACGTAACCACCGTCGGGATACATCGGCCACTCTCAGATCTTAAGTTCAATGACATCGAAGACGTATCCAGCTGTGCCCGGGAACCTGCCCGTGCGAAGGCAAGAGCTGACCTGATCAACGTCCACACCGTCCGGGTGCTCAGGGCCGTGGAGGCGCAAATCCACCTTCTCACGCTCCCCTCTCGGCCATTCCACCACACGCCCTTCACCACATGCATGGTCAGCGAGGGGACTCTGGCGCTCCTCTCCGCCTGCAACTACCTACTTAAGGGGAAGGAATTGGCAGTAGCCAGGGATCAGATCCGCGTGACCATCGGGTGCCTCCGGTCTCTCGGAGAGGTTTGGCCTCGGACAGCGAGAAATGTCACGGAAATTCAGACGATCGCGCGGCATGTTCTAGGGATGGAGCGAGATTTTGTGGGCAGCCATACCACAGAAGGTGACCAAGTTCCCAGTTTATCTGGCGGCGGCGGACAGCCAAGTGTCAAGTCCTCCGGGACAGAACTGTCGAGCAACGGCCAGTCCTCTGAGCCTTTCGTCCCCGATGCGGCATCTCAGTGGTTCAGCCTGGACGACCTGCAGCCAGACTTTGCCTGGTGGCCCGACGGTTACGAGGACGACAGCACGCAGAGTTGACAGCATCACCAGCCCAGGACTAGTGGAAGCATCCTCTGCAGAAACGAATCATGGACGGGGCCAAGGAAGCCAAGGGAAAACCTAATCCCGCTTACAATTGTAGACATCAAATACTATCACAGCCTTCTTCCCTCTATTCCTTTGTTGAGCGTATGTCCATCCCTCCACCGCATCGCCAAAGCCGAACGACTGCACGGCCAGAGGCTTCATCCTGCCGCTGTGAATGAAAGAAGACGCCTCGGCCAGCCTCTCTGCATCGGGAGACACAATGAAGTGCATATAACGAACCCCTGGGCGGGTCTCCGCCTCTACCGCTTTCCCCCTCCCGAACGCCCACGCTGGCGGCGGATCACCCACGGTCACGACGATCCCGTCGTCCGCAACCGCATCCCACGTCTTGGTCAGGATGTCGCCTCCGACAGTATCGAAGACAACATCGAACTTTCCGATTGATTTTTCCCAACCCGCCGCCTTGTAGTCGACAACATTCTCTGCGCCGTGCTTCCTCAATGCCTCGTGGTTCTGAGCCGACGCCAGAGCGATCGTGTGGGCCCCGGTCAAAAGCGAGACCAGCTGCACGAAGACCGAACCGACGGCCCCCGAGGCTCCTGTGAGGAGAACCTTCGTGCTGGGCGTGATTTTCCCGTGATCCACGATAGTCTCCCACGCCGTTAGGAGAGGGATGGGGAGTACTGCCGCTTCCGCGTGGGAGATAGACGACGGCATAGGAGCTATTTCCGCAGCAGAGCATATGGCGTACTCGGCTTGTCCCTGACCTCGGTCTGCTGACAGCATCCCGAAGACTTCTTGGTTGACTGCCAGGGGACCCAGATAGTCAGGCCCGAGAGCGGCGACGGTCCCGGAGATCTCGTGGCCCGGAATGCGAGAGGGTGTTGCGTAGATCTCTGGCCACGTCACAGCGTCGCCCGTGATACCGGCGGCGTGGACTTTGATGAGGATTTCGGAACCGCTGGGTGAGGGAGTGGGCATGTCGTCGTTGGTGACGATCCTGGGGGAGCTGATATCCCCGAGTATCTGGACTGCCTTCATGCTGGCGTGGATGGTGCCTGGTAGTGTAGAGGTAGGTGGTGGATCAACTTCTTGGCCCTTTCAACAGTTTCGGCCGGTCTCTTGCAATGTTTATCCATCCCGCTTGGACGTTTCTGAGGGATGGTAAAGTCGGCACATGCCCATCCGGGACGGGCGGCGGGCGGGTGCGGGAATCCATTTCACGGGCGGGTACCCACCACGGGCTACGCCGCCGGTCACTCCGGAAAGCCTAATTGATAGGAATGAGAGACGTTACAGTCGTAATGACTCCTCAAAGGATTCATCCATATAAAATAAGGATACTCACGGTCTGCTGTTAGCTGTCAGAAGCGACAACGCTCACACGCCCTCGTCACAACCACCAGATACTCTCAAACCCCGCCACCAAGTCCCCAGCACCACTATCTATCCATCATGTCGGAGCGAACCACTGAAGCATTACGGTGGGATGATCGGCTTCACTAATACATTACGAGTACAACTAACACTTGCCAGCGCCCGCCCGCGCGAGGCCATCAAGCCCCTGTACGACCACGAACTCAAGAACGCCCCCGGCAAGTCTGTCATCGGCGCCGAAGTGTCCTTTTCCCCTGACGCATGGACGCCCCCTCATCGCCATTCGGGAGCCACTGTCGTCGCGACGGTGACGGAAGGAGAGGTTCTGAGCGGCATGAACGGCAACCCGCCCAAGGTTTATCAGGTCGGGGAGAGCTTCATGGAGATGCCCGGCTGCCATCACACGGTCGGCGAGAACAACAGCAAGGAGAAGCCGGCGAAGATGATGGTGGTGTTCGTCATTGATACCGAGGTCATCACCAATGGTGGATACGCGGCTCTAATGGAGCTTGATGCCGGCTGGTAAGGATCGAGAAGATCCATGTCCATGTTGTGTGGTCGGGTGGTTGGTTGGCTGGACAGCAAGCCCAAGAGAGCAACTCGCCCTCCTCAAGGGTACTTGATCTTGCACGTCTCAGCTCATGTGCTTGGTAATAATAATCGATCACTCATTAATTAATAGTCCTCATGCCAAAGCTGGGACCATGAAGACTTTGTAGTAATTGACAGCCGGGTTGCCAGGGGAGTCCTGACGCTTCGACCATGGCTGATCTGGAGCACATCCCACTCCACGCGCAAGTCTTCCTCCTCGCCGACAAATACGACCTCTGAAGTTTGCGTGGTGTTGCATCGGAAAAAGTTCTTGCTCTCATCGCAAAGCATCGTGGATATACAGTGCTATAGGCTAGGCCCTGTTGGAACAACTTGGTAGCTCAGATTGAAACTATCTAACCGTAAGGTAAGAAAAGAGAAAGAAGAGGGAATTTACGGTCTACCTTTCCTATAAAGACCCTACGAGGTCTATACGTCCTCGCGGGCACGCGTCACGTGCCTAGGTAAACCGGCTAGGTTTTATACGTAGCCGCTAGTAACTAGTAGAACTGTCAGAAACTGGATTCAATGAAGAGAGTGAGAAGGTGCACAAATGTCGAGAGGGCGCAGCTAGATCGCTGCGAGTACGGGGTCCTTGGTGACTGTATCAATCTCTTGATCTTCCTAGAAGCATTCCTCGGCTGCGAAGGTTCTTCCCTTGGTGCGCCCCTTTGCACGTGACCCAGTGGGGCTTCCTGAGCCACTCCCAGCCACAGGGCCAGTGGCTTCAGCCACCCCTGATGCCTGCAACAACTTTGGTATGCAACATGTGTCTGACATGGGGCTCAATGTCTGCTGCCAGACGAATGCGGCACGCAGCTAAAGAGTCAACCCCCAAGGCAGCGATCGTGAGAACACGAAGCCTTACATTCTCGGGACTAAAAATCGCGTTGCGCGATCTCGCTTAGACGTAATGGCGCTTTGGGCCATCGTCTTCTGCGTCTCGAAAACGCCCCATCCCCAGCTCAACCTGCATGCGCTGAGGGACAGGTTGTTGACACGCAATCTCCATATCGCACGCATCGAATTGAGAACATGGGCATTCGTATTTACCATGCGCCATGACCTCATTCCAAGGAACATCACTCACCAGCAGTTGACAGCCTGATACCCTGCATGCTGTGTGCTGACGATCTGCAGGGTCTGGACTCTGGCGACTGCTTTAGGGTCCTCGTCCTCTTTCAGCTGTCGACAGGGTTCTCGATCCTTTGATCTCGGCCGTCTTGTTTCCGCTCGCCTCCCTACTTGACAGTTTACATCCACGTACGGTACACAGTCACTTAAGCATGCCTTACACAAGCAAGCTCGCGTTGTTAGTCAGTGAGCATCGGCCGACAGGGCTGAACCGTCCGTCGTAAGCGGCGCACAAAGGCGCGAAGACGCGAGTTGTGACAGACGGCGGCTGGTCTTTCCGATCCGTCCTCGCCATCCTTCTTCTCCAACTTGATCTATATCCCTCTTCTTTTCTCGTTGCCATCCTGATGCCGTGTTCCGCAATCAGCCGCATTTTGGATCGACATCCAATCCACCCTCCGGACGCCGGGCGGGCGCCAATTGCCTATGCTCAACTACGTACACACGTACGTACGTAGTAGGTTGTCGCGGCGGACATCGGCATAGAAACCTGGTGCTTTGAAATGCAAAACAAGGACATGGCCGTCGCCGACTCTTGTTTGCAGCCCTGCATGCGTCGTGTTGGACGGGGGTAAATTGGCATAAGTGCCTGGGGGCACCGCGTCTCGATGACTGGCCGACTCAACTGGCTCAGAGAATCACAACCAGCTCTCCTTGCCCCTTTGAGCAGCATCCTTGATTCTTGTCCTATCCTCCATCACTCTCTCTTCTTCTACCAGAGAAATCACGCCATCTGACACCATGGCCCCTGCAGCAGGCATCAAGGCGCAGCTAGAGCCTGACAAGTTCGAGGACAGGAGTCTAGAGGACGGCTCGAGCAGCGACTCTTCCTCCTCGCACCAAGACACCATTGGCGCTGTCCTCGATGGCCACCGGCCCTGTCTACAAGAGACCAGGTCGTACGCCTCCAGGTCTAGAGCCCACGGCGGGTGCGAGACAGGATGTACAGCCGCATGTCTTGCGCGTCAGCCTTCCCGCGTCGACAACATCGTCTCGCGCATCCGCTCGCGTCCAACAGCCCCGGTCTTCCATCACCCGCTGGCCGACAAGCCCACGGCCGTGAGCGTCATTGTCGACTTTGAGGGTCCTGACGATCCTTACCGCCCCATCAACTGGTCCACAAAGACGAAGGTCCTGACCACGCTCATGTATGGCCTCATCACAATGTCCGCTACCTGGGCCTCGTCCTCGTACGCAGCCGGCACGCAGCAGGTGGCGCACGAGTTCCACGTGTCGACCCCAGTGGCTACGTTAGGGACGACCCTGTACCTCTTTGGCTTTGGCATCGGACCGTTGCTCTGGGCCCCCTTGAGCGAGGTGTTCGGCCGGCGGCTGCCGGTCATGACCCCCATGTTCATTGCCGTCTGCTTCTCGTTTGCCACGGCGACGGCCCAGAATATCCAGACTATCATGCTGACCCGGTTCTGGGGCGCTTTCTTCGCCTCGGCCCCCATGACGAACACGGGCGGTGTCCTGGGCGACCTGTTCTCGGCGGAATGGAGAGGCATTGCCCTGGCCGGATATTCCATGGCCATTGTCTGTGGGCCAGCACTAGGTACGAAAACCCCGTCGACCATTTGACTTGTTTTGGTTTGCTCAGCACACAATGACTGACACGGCGCGCCAACGCCCAACAGGCCCTGTTGTATCCACCGTCCTAGCGCAGCAGCCCTCGCTCGGGTGGCGATGGACCGAGTACCTCACGGGCATCATCCAAGCCGTCGTCCTGCTCATCGGCGTCATATTCATTGACGAGAGCTACCCCCCGCTGCTGCTCGCCAAAAAGGCCGAGAAGCTACGCCACGAGACAGGCAACTGGGCCCTCCATGCCCGAATGGAGGAGTGGCAGATCTCCGTTGGCCAGCTCGCGCGCAAGTTCCTGGTGCGGCCCATCTTCATCCTCGCCACGCCCATCTGCTTCTCCATGACGCTGTACGCGAGCTTCGTCTACGGCATCCTGTACATGCAGCTGGGGGCCATCCCCATCATCTTCCAGGAGGTCCGCGGCTGGCATCCCATTGCCGCCGCCTTGCCCTTTCTCTCCATCATGATTGGCGCCAGCATGGGATGCGCCACCAACATCTACAACCAGTTCCGCTACAACAAGGCCTACTACGCGGCCAGCAACAGGCCCGTGCCCGAGATGCGTCTGCCCCCCATGATCCTGGGCTCGTTCCTCTTCTGCGGCAGCCAGTTCCTCGTCGGCTGGACCGCGCAGCCGGCGACCACCTGGGTGGCCCCGTGCATCGGCCTCGTCATGCTGGGCATGGGCTTCTTCACCATCTTCCAGGCAGCGCTCAACTACCTCGTCGACACCTTCCAGGCCTACGCCGCCTCGGCCATTGGCGCCAACACGTTCCTGCGGTCCTGCGTGGCGGGCGCGCTGCCCCTAGTCGTGGGACCGCTGTATCACAACTTGGGCGTCGGGCCTGGCTCCAGCATCACAGGTGGGCTCGCGGGTCTCTTGATCCCCGTGCCCATCGCCTTTTACCTGTATGGAAGCAGGCTTAGGGCGGCGTCTAAGTGGTCGAACGGGGCAATTATCGAGTAGGTTTAAAGGGGGCAAGGGGGTCATCTCCATACTACACTATTGAAAACTTGACGTTCGCTGCATTGCCTTACAGTAATAACCACCTAAACCGTTATATGATGGACGATTCTAATCTCCTGTCAGAATCTTGGATGCCTAGATTAGCTTGCTAGCCTAGTGTGCACGCCACATCTCACGATCCCTCCAGCTCCAGGAAGGGCGGACGCCATCGTTGTCGGCCACTCCGTTGGTACCCACACACCTCGCTTATTATACTTAGGTTCTCGTGTCGGCCTCCTTCAGCCGCACTGGTGCGGGTCAGCCTGTCAATCCTACAGGTGCGGGACTTTTGATCTCAATCACGCAAGCGTCCATGTAGTTACTCCAACATCTAGACTAGTAGCGGAGAGTTGGTTCGTCAAGGGTCCAGATTTCGTGCCAGGCACAGGCAACTTGAACCTCGTCCAACTCATATACACGCACGTATGTGAGGTTACTGGTGGCTTTGTCAGTTCACTTTATCACTTTCATCAGTGGAAATGTCGGAATACATGCGCGCAGTCGGTAAAGATTAGCCCATCGCCCCTGCTCGACCGCAAGTGCTGACAGTGAATATTCAAGACATCAAGGGGGGCAAGGGAGACAGCGATGCCCTCTTCATCAATGAGAAGACACCATTGCCCCAGCCTCCCGCGGGCCAGGCCTTGGTGCGCATCCGGGCCTTCGGCATCAACCGCATGGACATCATGCAGCGCAAAGGACCCTACCCGCTTCCACCTCAGGCGCCGACCACGCTGGGCGTCGAATTCAGCGGCGCCATTGCGTCCTTTGGCTCAGACGAGCATGGTGGGTTCCAAGTAGGCGACGAGGTCTTTGGACTGGCCTACGGAGGGGCGTACGCCGAGTACATTGCCGTCAGCACGCGCATGCTCCTCCACAAGCCCGCCTCGATGCCGTGGACGACGAGCGCCGGCATCCCAGAGACCTGGATCACGGCCACGCAAGCGCTGCATCAGGTTCTGGAATTTGCCAAGGGCAAGTCCATACTGTGGCATGCCGGCGCCTCGGGCGTGTCCATTGCGGGCATACAGTTGTCTCGTATAGCTGGTGCCAGCGCCGTGTACGCAACGGCAGGGTCGGACGATAAGTGCGAGTTCGTGGTCAAGGAGCTAGGTGCCACAGCCGCTATCAACTACAAGACGCAGGACTGGGCAGAGGCGATCCTGAAGCACACGGATGGGAAAGGCGTGGACTACATTGTGGATTTCGTAGGCGGGAGTTACCTCCAGCAGAACATCACCGCAGCGGCGCGCGACGGCCGCATAGTCGTCCTGGGCATCCTGGGCGGCGCTGAGGCTCTCAAGGTTGACATGTCCCAGATTCTCTTCAAAAGGCTCCGTATAGAGGGCAGCACGTTGAGGAGTCAGGAGGAACAGTACCAGGGTCTGCTGCGGGACAAGCTGGCCGAGTACCTGACGGACTTTGATTCGGGCAAGTTGCGGGTGTATCTGGACAAGGTGTTTCCCTGGCAGGAAATAGGGGCGGCGCACAAGCATGTCGAGGCGTCCATGAATATCGGCAAGGTGGTTTGCACTGTCGGGTGATGCCCGCGCATTCCTAGATCGCGTTGAAGGGCTCATTATCACACGTATGCACTACGTACGTTGCTTTTGCTCTGGTTTTATCTCAATCATTTGACAAGGTCGAAGACAGTTTAGAATACTACATGTGGCATAAATACCCTCTGCCTTGCTATTTCTACCCTTGCGTTCCCTTGAGGCTTTGCTTCCATCCTCGATTCACAGTATAAAGAATAAGGCTGCATATCCCGGAAATCAGTTCTGTGCACTCGATGAATGGGCGTATATGTGCCTCAGCCTACAAGCTCTTGGACTTCCACGGGCTCGCCCACACCATAATTTTGAAGCTCACGATGATATGAAGACCCACCAGATCTCACTTGTCTGTCTGTTCATGTTCGCATATGGCCTACGTTTCATGACGTCCAAGATACTCTTTTCTCACGATCATGACGAGATTGTCGGTTCTGAAGATTCAATGGCCCAAGTCAACCTACGAAACTCTACAGGCCTCCTTGAACCGTTGCTACAGGCGCGCACGCATCCCGGACACGATGCGCTGAATATGTGCATCATGCTTCCTACTGTCGAATAAATAGCCACGCTAATCAAAGGCAGCTCTCGTCACACCAGGATCCAGATGGTACCCCAGCAGCATGCCGGAGCTCTTGACCAATATTTCGCCCTCCAGTTCGGTGGCAAGTCTGACGTCGCAGCCAGACAACGCGACTCCGACCGATCCCTTTCGATGGTCTGTCAGTCAATTTCAGTGCCGCGGAATTTCTCAGTATCTTACATCTGGTACTTTAAGGTTATCGTGCAGAGGTGTCAAAATGGCGGTGCTGAATTTCGAGGCACCATATCTCTCGAGTATCCTCTTGCCATCTGTCAAACGCGTCCACTTCTCCCTGAGCGGTGAAGGAAGCGCTGATGTTCCCGACATCAAAATCCTCAACTGGCGGAGGCCATGCACGTATTGGTCGCAATCTGTCTGTTCTAGAAGATGATCCTCGTAGTGTCGCATGAGCCGCGTCAACATGCTCTCAGAGGGCAGTCGCCACGGGAGGGGAACACAGACTTGCCCGGCTTAGAGATCGGGACAGACTTAAGGAGGATAACAACGCAGGTCGTTACGATCTGAATGCCTTTTCACCAGTTTCTAGTGACATTCAATTCTCGATCCAGAATGCATCATCAGATGCGATGCTCACGTGTGGCCATGCAATTCGTCTGGCCCCCTGGCGTCACACTCGTGAACAACATATAGGGGGCCGCTCTGAACCCTGACTTTTATTCGAGACCTGGCAGCATCCTGAGATCCGGGACGAAATGTCGAGGATGAGGTTCCGAGAAGGTTTGAGGCCGGCTTTGGACCAACTTGGCGTTCAGCCGCGCAGTCGGCCGCTTCCACGTCCCCTGTTACACGCAAGGCACTCTACTCCGTAATTACACTGTCTTTTCGCTCATGGCCAGCGGCATCAACATGATATACACGAGACAGGCAGGGGTCTCATCGTGGACAACGGTTGGATTTTACCGCCAATGATTGCTAAGTGATCTCCCAGAAATCGACATTATCCCGCATTTGCCAAGCCGGGCTCTTGGAATTGGAGAGTCCAATCGGTTCGTCCGTCCACCACAAGCAAGGACAGTAACCAATCTAACAGGGACAGGGGAGGGGGGAGGGAGGAGGGAGGGTTGTGGCATCTATTCCCCATCGACTAACTCAGCCTTGTGCCAGTGAACTGTCAGCTTGGAGCACCAAGATTCTTACAGCAAAATTGGGCGCGGGAATGGTCGAATAAACCAGACTCTCTCATCATCCATGTCGTCAATCTTGCCCCCCTGATCCCCGACCGCGCACCAGTACCGCGCCGCACCCCTGCATTCATGTTGGCTCAGGCTCTCTGGAATTGGAGCGGAAGTAGTGTGAGAGCGTGACCGGTCAAGCAGTCATCCAGTGTACATGCCTGGTATGCTCCAGTTTGCTGCACACTGAAGGACGGGCCGAAGACTTCTTCGCCCTCCAACGTCGTGCCGCCCCCTGCCCGGCCGTGGAAGGCCACCTTCATGTTGTGTTGATGCGCCGCCCGATCTTTCACACCGAGAGAGAGGCATATACTCAACTGCATTGTGACCCACTTGGTCTTAAAGAGCCCCAAGCCCACCGTGTCGTGACGTTGTAAGCCGAAGCGCGGAATCTAAAGCCCGCCAGAACAACAAGCTCGATTGCGACTCAACAGCCGCTCTGGCATCCATACATTTCCGACCGTGAGATTCGCCATGCTTGAAACCCCCAAGGTGGCCGTCGTGGTAAGCATGAACGCCTTCATCTGCCCAATGACACCATCACCACCTGCTACTCGAGCGCATCTAGCTAATACGACACGTCAAAAAACAGCCCGTCGAGTCCATACTCATAGCTCTATCCCTCGCAGCCGTGGTAGCCCGACTGGCGGTCCGCCGGGTGCACCAGGGGCAAAGCCTTACCGTCTGCGACTGGCTTCTCGTGGCTTCCATGCTCGACGCTATCGCCCTCTTCACGACCGACATGTTGGCCTACAAGCTAGGCGCCTTGGGGCCATATCCTACGACAGAGGCCGAGCAGATCAGCTTGAAGAAGGTGACGTTTGCGGGCAACTACTTTTACGACACGGGCGTCTACTTCCCCAAGTTGGCGCTGTGTGCGCTGTACGTCAAGCTGATCCCGCCCACGATGCCGCAATTGCGTAAGGCTATGCACGCCACGAGTGTGTTGACGGTGACGTTTGCCCTCACTACGTGCTTTCTAGACACGTTCTGGTGTGGCACTCACCCTTCGGTGAACTGGAGCCTGGAAGACGGAGCCTGCAGCACCTACGATTCCAAAGAGGTCTTCCGCATCGACTGGATCATGAATATTGTGTCCGATGTCATCAGTGAGCCCTCGTTGCATTACTTGAAGTAGCTCGGGCGATCACCAGCTGACAGGCTCGCAGTCTTCAGCCTTCCGTTCCCACTTCTCAAAGGACTTCAACTCAAACCGCGGTACATTGTCGGTGTCGCCGCCATCTTCTCTGCGGGCATCGTTACAGTGGCTGCCAGTGTGAGCCGCTTCGCCACGGTCGAGGTGATACACAACTGGCCCAACGTGTGTACGTCTCTCAGTGCACGCTGCAATCTCTTCTCAGCGTCTCAAAACTGACACAAGACTACAGATATTCTGTCCATGACCGAAATGGCAGCAGCCATCATCGTGGTGTCGCTACCAGCCCTCAAGCCGCTTCTGCGCCGTCGCGGGGAGGGATCGACAGGACAGTATGGCACCGGAGCGAGCGTGCAAAGGGCGACCACGTCGAGCCACGTCAAGCTGTCCTCGGGAAGGGATCCCTACGTCGCGACAGCGCACGTAAGTTCTGCGGAAGATTCAGGCAGCGACGTGGAGCTGCGTACTGTCGGACGCAGCAACGTGATCTACAAGACCGCCCATGTGAGCGTAACATACCAAACGCGCGAGGACACTAGGGAAGGCGACAGACAGCCCACGCCAAATTGACAATCTGTCATTTCGCACCGGGCTCCTGCGTTTTGGTCAGACATCGTGGCTCGGGGCAGACTGAGAACGAAGGAGGGCTAGCAGCCGAGAGGAGAACCCCGGGACTCGGACATTTGTCCGGGGAGCATTGGGCCGAACACCCGGAGCAGCGCGGACCCCTGACCCCTGCCGGCGCTGCATGCATATAAGTAGTCACAGATCAACCAACAACTCTTTGAAAAGGACCGAAAAGGCCAGAGCAAGCCAACGCTCGAGAACCATGGTCTTTCAGACTTCCAGTGCCAGATCGTGATGGACGTGCCTGTTTCATGGTATCGTCGTCTGCAAAACGGTAAATCTCGGACTGCAGATGGGAATATGCCACCATTCTCCATCTGCAAGACCATCGACTGATCTGACAGAGCTTATGTGCACTGATTGGTGCTGGAAAGAAATTCATAAGCATCCGATAATCGAGCAATTTAGCCGCAACACAAGCTTTTCTCGTCACGGCGGCTATTCAGGGGCAACAGAAACGACAGTCCCTTGCAAGCAACCAAAGTGGCGAGAGGGTTAGCTGCACATGGATATTAAAATGCGACTCTGCCTTGGATGGACCGGAATGGATTAAAATTCTGTGGACTCAGGACCAGGCCTGTCATCCTCAATGAACCATTTCGCGAAGCGAGTCAACAAGCCTCGGCCCACATCTGCCAACCAAGTCGTTGTCGTTCAGAGGCCTTGCTGACATACGGGATTGAATTTTCTCAAGGCATGTTGATCAAACAACCAGCAGTATGATTGCACGCAGCAACATTGGGTACACTTGGCCGACACCATCAAGGTCTCCCACCCGTTTCCCGGCCGAGCACGACAAGATTGGGGTGAGACCTGTGCCAGTCTTCCATTGTTGGCAGCGCCTGATTTCGAATTTCGGATGTAACGCCAGATAAAGGCGTATTACCGACAGTCTCGCTTCCTCGAGGGTCCAATTCTGCCGTGCCGTGTCGCCCCCAGATATGCACTGCATATGTACATGTATGTACGGGCAAGGAGGAAAGCCAGGGATTCATGTGGCACGGTGCCAACAGCTCGTATCTCGAACTCTTCGACCAGCCCAGTGTTACCTTGAGCCTCTTGGCTCTTTGCGAATACCGGGCGCTTTTTCTCCGAGTGTAAGATATATCAACTGGTAGCGCGGTGGCGGCCAGTCCTTTTCCACTTCTGAAGCCCGCGCTGTACCGCATTTCTCTTCATTATTCCCTTCCACTCGAGCCGTCGTTGCCGACCGGTTCATTGACAACAAAATGGCGTTCTTCATTGACGGCAAGGACTGCATGGTGTGTACACACCTCTGTCGCGTTGAACTCTTCCTGACCAACGTAGATCTCCGAATGGATCCTGCTGGCCATCTCCTACGTCTTCGTCGCCTTGCGCGTCTACACGCGCCTCTTCCGTCTGCGCGAGAAGCTCAACTGGGCCGACTGGCTCCTCGTAGCCTCGGCCATCAACGCCCTTGGTCTGATCATCTGCGATACGCTGACCTTCCAACTGGGTGTCATGGACACCTGGGCGCCTTCGGTCGCACTGTCAAAGGTACAAACGGAGAGGAGAGATGAGCCTCCTTGAAGAGCCGTGTCCGATCGCTGACCACACGGAGCACAGATTGGCTTCGCCTCCAACTACTTTTACGATGTCGGCATGGGCTTCCCCAAGCTTAGTCTTATTGCCTTTTACTGGGCGTATTTCCCTACCCACGCCAGCCCCGGCATTCGGAAGGCTCTCTGGGGCATCACCGCTTTTGTGTGTGCCTGCTACATCACCATCTTGTTCGACGACACCTTCTTCTGCGGCTCCGACGTCTCCGTGCAGTGGTCGCAGGAGGATGGTGCCTGCAGCGTCTTCTATGCCCCGGAACCTTTTATCGTCAACTTTACCCTCAACCTGGCCTGCTATCTCGTTGGTACGTAGCATCCATTTACTCTGGGTTCCCCGAACCTTGGTTCTACTTGCCAGGACGAAGCTAATCCGTTCCGCCTGCCACAGTCTACGCGCTTCCCCTCGCACTGGTGATTCAGGGTGTCCTCAAGTCCTCCAAGGGAGTTGTTCTGACTTTTGTTCTCGGCGCCTTGACGATTGCTACCACGATGATCCGCTTCATCACACTCAACGTAGGAACCGGCCAAGTCAACCTCGTCTGTGAGTCTGGCAGTTTTTTATCCTTCCGTTTATGACGGAAACATGGTACTGACCGCACGCCTGCTGCAGATCCCCTCAGTATCCTCGAAATGACGCTGGCCATCGTCGTCGTCGCCCTGCCGGGCTTGAAGCCCCTTGTCGATGGCGCCGCTCGCCGCCATCCGTCGGTCGAGACTGTGGAGGTGAACCACCAGGAAAAGCCATACTCGTCGTAGACACTGGCAGGAGGCTTTTGCGCACGGAACGCAATCGATAAAAGGGGTCCAATATAGCGGCTATCGTGAAGACATGTATATGTATGCATCAGCCAGCCCCTGAGCGGGGAGCAAGGACAGAAAAGAATCAATCAACGAGCCTCCTCAGCGCAGCCTCACACGGACAATCCTTTTACCAAATATGAACCCTAGTCACTCGAGACAAAATCCTCCCTCGCCCCATCGGCCACCGCATCGTCCGTCAGCACCCGCCACCCCAGCATCGCCATGCCCTCCGCGCACGAGAGCGCAATGTCGAATGACTCGCGCAACTCCGCAGCCAGACGAAAGTCAGGCTGGTGCGGCAGCGCCCCGTGGGAGCCGGGGATGCCATAGGCCCCGTGGAAGCTGGGCACGGAAAAGGACACGTTGCCCATGTCCGTGGAGAAGGTAAAGGGCTCCTCGCTGCGCGGGACAAAGGTGACACCCTGCTGGGCCATGAGCTTGGCATACTCGTTGCTCAGAGTGTTGTTGATCCGGAGGTTCTTGTACGTGGGCGCGCTGCAGGACGGGGTGGTCAGTCGCCTCTGTGTGCAAGCATCAAGGTCAGCTCACTCACTTGATGTAGTCCACGGTGCAGCCGGTCGATGTGGCGGCCGCCTCGAAGCACGCCTTGACCCGGGCAAGTAATTCCTCCCCTCGCTGGACCGTGGGGCTGCGAATGTAGTAGTTCATCCGCGTGTAGGCTGGGATCACGTTGGGCGAAGCGCCGCCCTCCTCGATCACGCCGTGGATCCGCTCGTCGGGATGTATCTGCTGCCGCAGCATCGACACGCCCGTGTAGGCCGCGACGGCCGCGTCGAGGGCGTTGCGGCCCTTCCAGGGGGCGCCTCCAGCATGGGCGGTGCGTCCGTGGAACTGGACCCGCAGCTTGAGGCTGGCGACGAACTTGACGCCCGCGATACCCCTGATGTGCGGGGGGAGAACGTGTGCGCTGGTGGGGTGCATCATGATGGCCGCCGCCGTGTCGTCTGGGAACGCGCCGGCCTCGAGCAGCTTGACCTTGCCGCCGCCACCCTCTTCAGCGGGCGTGCCGAGGATGCGGACCCGGCCCTCGACGTTGGGTGCGGCCTTGAGAGCCGCCGCGAGGGCGAGGAAGCCTGTGACGGACGAGGTGGCGATGAGATTGTGCCCGCAGGCGTGGCCAATGTCGGGCAGAGCGTCGTACTCGGCGCAGAAGATGACGAGGCGTCCACCAGAGCCGTACTCTGCCTCGAATGAGGTGGCCAGCCCGTAGGCATGTCGCGTCACCTGGAAACCCGTGCCCTCCAGCGCTTGTGTGATTGTGTCATGCGCGACCGTCTCCTGGTAGCCAAGTTCAGGATGGCTGTGTATCGTCGTGTTCATGGCCCAGAGGGCGTCGCTGCGCTTCTGGATTGCCTCACGCACATGTTCGAATGCCGCGTTGTCCGTCTCGGCCATCTTGTCTGTCTACATGTAGATGCAACTCGTGGATTGGAGCAGGACACTGCTGGGTGTGGCGTGCCAATCACATATAAAGCTGGGGTGTCAGCCTGTCACGCATACGGACTCACGGGGCGTCCCGCTTCTGCATTCCATCAGAGACAAGGTTCAAGCTAAGTGAGAGCCCAGTACCCACAAGTGAGACACGGCGGTGATTGAGAGCGAGAACAGATTAGAACAAGTAGGATGAGCAACAGGAAGAAGTAGGCGGTCCCAGTAGAAGAGTTGCACGATGCAAGCGAGGGCCAGCACAGCTGGAACGTGTGGGAGCAACACCACAGCAAGCCAGCCTTGTGGACAGGAACATTGAAGTCCAGCCGCCAAGTGACTGGGATCAATTCACCTTGCCCATTCCGTTCGCCAAGCGCAACTCGACCGGTTCCGTCGTCGGACACGCGATTGGTTCCAGTGTCGACCGTGTAGCAGTTGGAGACCTCAACTGCCATCGCACTTGTCATACCCAGTCTACCTGCTTTCCTCTGCCCTTCGTCGCACGTGTGATAAACGCTTTGTGGATTAACCCTCGCTGATCCTTGTTACCGCACACTCCTCGGGTGATGTCTCATGGCGACCTTCATGTAGCAGCCTACGTGCTTCGCCAAATCGCAAAGTCTCGTATTTCCCGATCTTGATGGGGAACAAAGTATCAGAAGTCTTTCACGTTCTCTTGCTGTTGAGGAAGATCTGCTGGCAGACGGCATTTGTTGTTCAAGGTCTTTTGCGCGCTTACGCTCCCTTCCGCGTACTACTTGCTGTATCCCAAGAAAGGCCTTGGGACGTGCTATGATTAGACTGCTAGACTAGTTGAGAGCGTGTATACTTGCCGGAACTTGAAGGCTATCTAGTCGAGGCGCTCTTGGTCTAGCTGCTGTCCAATCCATGATACACTCCTCCGAATGGGCGGAATCGGACGGTGACAGATTGCTTTGAGCATAACTAGCTCGCAACCTACATGTAGGAGACACATGGAGAAAAACAGACAGATAAAGTATACGCACTGCTGCAATGCCAATGAAGACTATTTGATGTGCAAGGATGATTTTCTCGCCGGACCCGCGAACTAGTAATCGAGCGAGGAACCTTGTTGGAGCCCATGTCAAAGTTATCAACAACAAGATAATATTATTTGATCTTATTTATCGCCCGCGCACCTTGGTCTGGGGTCGTCCTTACACTCAACAAAACATCACGACTCGATGGAGTCGTTCCTGACATGTTCATGGCGATGTCTAGTCTGGACTCTAGGGTACCCACGGCGCTGCTGCTCCGGTGGCCGTACGGATACAGCGAGGCCTTGGCATCGGCTTATGCAGCCCATCGTGACATCGTCGTCCCTCTTCCCTGCCGGTATCCTGTCGGTCACCTTTTATGAAAGACCTGGCGGCCGGATGGCGGCATCGTCCACGATTCGACGCGATAGCCAGTTAGGCAAGGTCGAGACTAGCGCTTTTCGATAGCAACCGACTGTACGTACATTTAACTCTACGCAAAAGCATATTGATCAGAGCATGATCTCCGAGGCCGCCTCCGGGGCGAGGCGTCGGGGACCCTCTTAGCCTCAGGGGTCCTTGAACTGGCCTCCACCCCGGCCATGCAGCGTGCCGGATTGCCGGGGCGAAACGTACATTCGGCTCCTTGAGTCCTGACTGGTGATGGAACTTTTTGCCTCCTCCATCAGTGAATCACACAGACCATGGACAAAAGGACAGCTCGGCACTCCACATTTGTGTACCTGGACGGCCTGGGACCTTTGTTTGATGGACTCATGGACTCAATGGTTGGGCTGTTTGCTTGTTCGACCCCTGCCTACCGTCTGTTTGTTCCCTGATGTGGAAGGTCTCCTATCGCGTCTGTCAGACGGTCTCCATGTCGGCCACGTTATATAACATGAAGACATTATCGTTCGTTTGCACTTGACAGGCCTCGAAGCAACGCATGCTTCGTGCTGTAGCCACCGCCTTCACAATGCCGTCCCTCCACATTGCGGCCGTCGCCTGGCTGGCCGTGGGCCTCGTCGAGCACGCCCTGGCCCAGGACTTCCGCGCCAACCAGTACATTGTCGAGTATGCGTCGCAGAGCAACGCGCTGCGGGCCCGCGATACCCTGGCCAGCGTGGGCGACATCCGCGTGCGCAAGACGTACAACAGCGCCGTCTTCTCGGGCGTCAGCATCGAGACAGAGGCCTTTGCCCTCGACGACCTGGTCGCCATGCCCGATGTGGCCAACGTCTGGCGCAACCACATCCACAGGCTCGATCCCATGCAGATGGCTGCCGAGGCCGCTGAGTTTAGGGAACTCGATGGCATCGTCCACAACACGACAGGTGTGGCCAAGCTCCATGAGGACGGCATCCTGGGCGAGGGTGCCCTGGTCGGTGTCGTGGACACGGGCACCTGGTATGAGCATCCGGCCGTGAGTACATGTGGCCCGTCCTGTATCGAATTCGAGCGCTGACCCTCACAGCTCGGTGGCTGCATCGGACCCGAGTGCAAGGTCACCGGTGGCCATGACCTCGTAGGCGACGAACCCTGGCGTCCCGGCCTGGAGAAGGCGCCCGACTCGGATCCCAGGGACAATCAGGGCCACGGCACCCACGTGTCCGGCATCGTCGCCGGCGAGAACGACTACTGGAGCGGCGTGGCGCCCAGGGCCAACCTGCGCTCGTACAAGGTCTTCTCGGCCGCCGACAGCCCCGAGTCGGACGACGAGACGGTCATCGAGGCGTTCCTCATGGCCGCCGACGACGGCTGCGACATTATCACCTGCAGCATCGGCAACTTCAACGGGTGGCCGCAGAACGCCTGGGCCGTCGTGGCGGACAGGCTGGTCAGCGAGGGCATCTTCATCTCCGTCTCGGCGGGCAACGAGGGCGCTGCTGGTCCGTTCTTTGGGAGCACGGGCTCGTCTGGCAAGGATGTGCTGGCCGTCGCGTCCATCTCGGCGGATCAGCTGCCTGCGAGTTCATGGACAGCCATCTACGGCCAGGACGGCGACAATGATACAGCCACAGAGGCCTATCTGCCCGCGACGGACAGCTTCCCCGAGTCCGTCAACGGGTGGGAGATTCGCCCGCTCAACCTTGACACGACCGTCGTCGACGATGCCTGCACGCCGTATCCCGAGGACACCCCCAAGCTCGACGGCGTCATCCCCCTCGTGCGTCGCGGCACGTGCGCGTTTGTCGTCAAGGCTGAGAACCTGGCGGCCCTCGGAGCCAAGTACATCCTCTTCTACAACAACGAAGGCACCATCACGACGCCGCAGAGTGTCGAGGGTGTCCTCGCGGCCATGCTCACGGCCGAGACGGGCGCCAAGATCATCGAGACGGTCGCGGCGGGCGGCCACGTCACGGGCGACTTCTCCTCCGACTCGGACACTCCCGCCTTTGTCGACTGGCCTGCCGCCGGCAAGGCGAGCGACTTCACCTCCTGGGGCGCCCTGAACGACTTGACCGTCAAGCCAGACATTGGTGCGCCTGGTGGCCAGATCTACTCGACCTACCTAGACAACGGCTATGCCATCCTCTCGGGCACCTCCATGGCCTGCCCCTACGTCGCTGGCGTGGCTGCTCTGTGGGTTGGTCAGAACGGTGGTCGCAAGGCCCTCGGCAAGGGCTGGGCGCGCTCTCTCGGCCGCCGCATCATCAGCAGCGGACAGCCCATCCCCTGGTACCACGCCTCGGTGACCTATCCCGAGTTCGAGGCGCCCGTCGAGCAGGTCGGCACGGGCCTCATCGACGCCTGGAAGGTCCTCCACTACGACACGCAGCTCGACTTTAAGACCATGGGCCTCAACGACACGCACTACTTTAGCCGCTACCACGACGTCGTCCTGACCAACGACGGCAAGGAGAGCATCGAGTACACCTTTAGCCACGCCCCCGCGGCCGGCATCGAGACGTACACGTGCGACGGCGACGACGACTGCCGCGTCAAGACGTGGGCCGAACTCGAGGCCATCCCCCTCGAGGTCGACGTCAAACTCCCCCGATCCTTCACCCTGAAGCCTGGCCAGAGCAAGACGGTCTCGGTCAACTTTGCGAACCCGGACAAGAAGGGCTGGAATGCAGAGGCCCTGCCCGCCTACAGCGGCAACATTCGCATCACGGGCAGCAATGGCGAGGAGCTGGCCGTGCCCTACTTTGGACTCGCCGCCAACCTGAAGCAGGTCGTCTCGCCCATCTACCGCGCCGGCTACCCGACGGCCGTGTCCACGCCCAACGACACCTCGATCGACGAGGACGCGACCTTTTCTTTCGACAACAGCGACGACGTGATGGATTTCCCTCGCATCGTCGCCCGCCTCAAGTGGGGATCGGCCCAGATCCGGTGGGATGTACGTGTCTCGATACCCGCAATCTCGTGTGATCCCTGACTAACATGCCCAGATCTTCGAGTCCGACTGGACCGAGCGCAAGTGGTCCTGGCCCCTGACCCCCGGGGAGAACGGCTACGTCGGGACCGTCCACGGCCTCGACAAGTCTACCGGCTCCGTCGACTACCCCAACGTCACGGTCACCTTCCCCGTCGTGTGGACGAACCGCAACGGCGACGCCGCCGAGAACCAGCTCCTGCACGAGTACTGGTGGCCCGAGGGTCTGCTCGGGAACGGCTCCAAGATCGAGCCGGGCACGTACACGTAAGTGGCTGCAATGAGGAGGGACGTGAAAGTACCTCGCTGACGAGTCGTGTAGGATGCGCTTTGCTGCGCTCAACCCGTTTGGCGTTCCGGAGCATGGCAACAACTGGAGCGTGTTCAAGACGCCGAAGATTACCATTGTTGAGTAGACGAAGCCTTTGAGCCTATATACTTTGACATAAATACAGGCATGTAGGAAGCCCGTTTCAACAACCAGCCGCTCCCTACCAAAAAGACCCCTCGACCAAGAATCCAACGGTCAGTCTGCTGTGCTGTAGGGCGTGCGCATAGAAGGAGCCGCGCGGCGTGTCGTTGGCCGTGTGAATGTACGGGCTGGAATCCGACATGGTGTCGGCGCACACGTAGGACGCTGGGTATCCAGCAGCGCGCGCCGCCGCACTTTGCATGGTCAGCCCTAGTCTTCAAGTCAGAGTCATGGGGGGGGTGGGGGGCGGACGCACTGGTCGGAGCAGCCGTAGCCGCATCGGTCCGTGACGAGGCCCAGGGTCGTGTACACGGGCACCAGGCGCCGCATGTAGGTGGTCAAGCCGGCGTCAACCTGCCAAGTCAGCGTCTCCTAGCATGTGGAGCAGAAAGCTGCGGATTTTGCTCACATAATCTGTGTAGACGGCAATGACATTGTTCGTCGAGTAGCCCGTCATGTCCTGGTTCAGCACGGCCAGGACGTCGACGTTGTCAGCGGCGTAGCGGTTGAAGACATCACGCGCACCGAGCAGACCTCCTTCCTCACCGCCGTAGAAGTGAAACTCGAGAGTGTTGCCTGGTGCATATCTGGCGGCGGCGAGCGCTCGGAGAGCCTCGAGGATGGAGGCGACGCCCTGTGAAAGTGGTTAGTATGGACGTGGACAGAGACTGGGCAATGGATCTGACTTACAGAGGCGTTGTCGTCAGCACCAGGAGCCCTGCCCGTGACACTAGCTGAGTTGATGCTGTCATAGTGCGCCGTGACGATGACTCTCCGTGGTGAAGTGCCCGGTATGGTGGCAATCACGCTGGGCTGGTTGAAGGAGTGTGTGAACTGTCTGACGGTGATGGCAGGGTTGCTGGATGCCGCCGACCGCACTGCGTTGAGTACATAGCTTGCGCTCGTTGCCGCATAGGAGCCTCTGTAGTATCGATTGTAAATATTAGAGAGACCCGTGATTGTGCTCTGCACATTGTTCTGGACAAGCCTGGCGATAATGGGGTTGGCAATGCTCTGCCTGCTGGGTGCAGGGTAGGGTGACTGGCGCTTCGCCAAGGCAGCGTGACGGCTTGCGCCGAGTTCCTCGAGCTCCTGGACATTGTATGAGCAGCAGTAGGACAAGACACGTCTAGTCTAGAACCTACCTGGGTTTCGGTCACATCCATAAAGTGGACGTGCTTCAGCATGTACTCGTGGATCTTCTCCTCTTCCGTGACCCACGTCCCTGAATCGTCGTCAGAGGTCTTGAGAAGACGCAGCGGCTCCGCGTCCCCGGACGAGGCTGCGGCCGTGGAAAAGCTAGTAGCTTCAAAACTGTACTCTTCGGTGGCCCGGCACGCGTGAGACACCTGGAGAAGAAGAGCGCCGGCGGCGAGCAAGACTGGAGTGCGCATGGTGATCATTTGGAACTATGAGTGTGAGGGCAGAACAAGACGGTAGACTTATGAGTATCCAAAGTCTCGGGTCCTCCGTATCATCTTATACGGACACACACAGACACTGGTGACGGAAGACCCCCTCAGACCAGATCAAGGTCTCTCGCATGTCCCATGCAAGTAGATGCCCTTTTCGTGGTGGACCGTCCGACTGACAGCGACCTCCTGAAATGGGCCTAGCACCGGCACTTCCAACTTCCCTTCTCGGGTCCAACCGAACACTCAATGTGACCACAGTTCGCAAGCACAGGCCATCTTCCAAGCTACTCGCAAGATCGAGACGCTCTTATCTCCACAGCGATATCACTGCGACTGCTGCTGTGAGTGTATGTGGCAGGTGACACGGACGAGTTGCAGCAACGATGTGAATTGCCAGAAATCAGCCCTCCCTACTTTTTTGTCTATACCCTCAACTCCTATGCTGTCTAAAAACTAGTCTAGTATTGCAATGAACGTGTAAAAAACAGCGTCGCTTGGGGTAATATGTCACCGCCGAACATGCCCAACAAAATACCCGATTCACCCTCGTCCGTCTTCCGTCCTTCCCCCGCTCCATCATGCCCGACAGAGACCATATCAACGTCTTCTTCCACCGCGGCTAGATGCAGTTTGTAAAGGCCACACCGGGCGAGGCAGGTCGCCCAATATGCAGGCGCTGCACGGCGGCGTCTAGCGACGAAGGTGGTGCCACCCCACCCGATGTCGTTCGTCTGTGCCGCCCGTGCACGCTCATCTTCCTCGGGCGGCCATTCTTCTCAGGAGACTTGGGCTCAGAGGAGGCAGAGGAGGAGACGGACGACATGGACTTGGCCGACACGGTGCTCAACGAGGACGACGTCCGTGACATTGTCGAGTAGACGGACGAGCGGGTCGAGGATGCGCCGGGTGATGTGGGCGTGTTTGTCGCAAAGCTGTCGGACAGCTCGGACATGATGGTCTCGATCGAGTCTTGGTTGTCGGTGACCTTGCCCAGACGACGCTGCCACCAGACGGCGTCCAGTTCCGGCGGCGAGTACTCGATCAGGTCATCGAGGGCCTGCTTGATCCGGTCCATCTTATCCTCGTCAATCTGCAGAGGATAGTGTTCCGACGCGAGCTCCAAGAGGGCCGCCACGTCGAGAGCCTCCTGCCGCTTGCTGGCCTCCTGGTCCCGCAGCCCACACGCATCCGCCTTGAAGACGATCAAGTCGTCGAGGGAAATGTACGGCAGACTGGCCGTGTCATCGCGCACCGCACGCGCGGCGTCGGGGAGATAGGGACACAGCCAGTCGGGGATGAGCTTCACCTCCACCTCCCAGCGGTTGGGGGACTTGAAGAAGACCATGCCAGACCGTTCGACGAGAGGACTCATGGGGTGGCCCACAATCTCCTTCCTCACCCGGCCGGGCGAGGAAGACTTGCTGATGACCAGATCGATGCTCTGCAGGCAAGACAGCGTTGTTAGTCGCCAATGTCCCTTCACGTGGACGCCTGTACGTACAGCAGTTCGATCACACTCTGGTAGATGATGGCGCAGCGCAAGGTCGCCCACGACGGCCATCTTGGTGTTCTCCAGCCCGGGCGTGTCTCTGATGAGGCTGATGATGTGGAGGGCCGTTTGCTCCAGCTGGGCAAAGCTTGGCGGAGGCTGCTTGGACGGGGCCATTGTGGCTGATCCCATTGCTTCGTTGGGAATCAGTGCTCTGGACTGTGGGTGAGATTTCGCAAGACTTTGGCGCAGGGGCGTCAAACCGACTGGACACTGGCGGCCCTGCAGATGCGCGATGCAGAAGGGTCACCAGATCGCGTCCGTACGTGCATGTAGGTCCTTTTCACCCTCTCGACACGCCAGCCATTGGGCATCCATCTTCCCGGCCGGGCTTGGAAAGCCAGACATGACGAGACGTGAAACCATGGTGCTCCGGCGCCCAAAGAAGCCCAACGGGCGAGGCCGGCTCCAATGGGGAGGGCGAGGCCGGCCGGAGTGGCCCTCTGCAATTTTAAATTGTAGAATCCAGAGGGATCATCCCGGCAGGCCTTCCTGCCCCTCGGGAGACTGGAGTCAGATTCTGCCTCTTCCAGCCATGCAGCTCGATGTTTCATTTCCTTCGGAGAATATGAATTACAATGACTTCATCGAGCCGGCTAGGCCGCTCAGCGCAGCCCGAGCGAGGGTGGACCGTGGGACGAGACTGAACCATCACGAGTCACGACGGCTTGGCACGGCATTTTGCCGTTGGTTGCGTCCAAGACGTCCCACCATATAAGCTCTTTGCCCTGCCCGTATTGGGAGGGATGGGACTTGGAGTCATGTTTTGACGATGCACTAGAAAATGTTCTCGCGGTGTGTCCCCATGACAGAGATCTGATCATATCCCTACACAGACGCGTACGCGGTCCGATCAGCAGCATCAAGCACACAAATATTCCGCGTCATGCGAATGCACCGCCTCACGCTTGATGACTCACATTGACCCTATACTATGGGACAGAAACACCGCCGACCGTTCTCTGCCGCCCCAATCGCGGCGATGGCGCTGCTCAGCAACAGTCACCCGCTGTCTGCTCCTCGCAGGCCCCAAGTCGGCAGAAACACGACGAGGTGATAGAGACATCCGCCTCTGCCAGCGCCAGTTTGAGCTGCTGCCTGATGATAGTCGCCTCCGCCGTGCGCCCCAACCGACCCAGACACTCGTGGTAGCCATGCAGCGCCCAGACGTTGTTCGGGTGCTGGTGGGCGCGCCCTGGCGTCGGTGTCAGACCCAGATCCTCCGCGTACGCTTGCGCGGCCTGTTCGATCGAGCCTTGCTCCAGCGAGAGAGCCGCAAAGGCGTGGCGCGCAGGAAGCATCCATCCCCAGGGCTCGGCGAACCCCAGTCCGTCTTCGAGGGATATGGCCTCGCGGAGCCTGGCAAATGCAACAATGTAGTTGCGTCTCCTGTACTCCATCTCGCCGTCGAGCATCGCGGAGGCCACTTGGAGGATATCCACCACCCTGTTCGGAAAATCGAGGCGTGTAGGGGGGACACGCTGGGCAGCAAGCCTGAAGAGCTCACGCGCCCTGTCGGCCTCGTCCAGCTGGCCGGTTGACGCGTGTGCGATCGCCTTCCCGTAATACCTCATGACATTCGTCACGCAGTACAGGTCTGCGTCCTCCAACGGCTCCAGGCCCTTGAGCTGGTCCCACATGCCGAACCGAATCAGGACGTGGACGCGGACAGCCAAGAAGAATTCCATCCAGTTGGCGAGCGCGGGCGTCTCAGTACGAAGCGCGTCCTCTGCGATGGTGGCCTCCATTCGGTCCGTCGCCGACAGCGCCGCCTTGGACTTGCCTGCCAGCATCGCCGCGTAGATGAGCGAGTGGTAGTCGTGGAGACGGTAGTAGCCGTAGAACGTGGGGGCGCTGCGTCGCGCGAAGAACTTGTCGTCGGCTGTCGTGGCTTTGAAGTTGTACTCGACAGCCCTGCGATAGTCTCCGATGAGCACGTCGATATGCGCGGGCATGTGGTATGTGTGGCCCGTGTCGGGGACCTGCTCGCGGATCATGTCGGCCGCCGGGAGTGCTGCCTCGGGCGTCGCTGACATTTCCATCAGGTGAATGTACATGTGTGCAGGCCCTGGGTGTTTCTCGACACCCGGTAGCGTCAGCGCCCTTTCCAGAAGCTGCCTGACCTCGAGGACGGGCGAGGTGGTGATGGGGAGACCGGTGGCGGTGTCGAACAGCTTCCTCGGGGCACAGTTCATCAGCGCGTCGGCAAACAGGGTGATGAGATCAAAGTCATTGGGATCGAATTGACGGTACACACTTCGCATGGCATCTGCGTATGCCCTCTGGCAGGCGACAAAGTCCTTGTTCAGATCGTCGTCGGGATACCGCTTGGCAAGGGCCTCGATCAGGGCCTGCTCCCAATCTGTCGCCTTGCTGGCATGTTGGAGCGCCAGCTGCGCGTATCGGTAGCACGACCGCACCGCATTGATGCGGTCTTGCTCGTCAAACAGCGCCCACGTCTTGTTGTAGTTGGGACCAGCGCAGAACGCGACGCCCCAGTACGCGAGTGCACACCCGTCATCGTAAAGGAGGGCTTGCTTGTAGCAAAAGATGGCCTCGTCGTGATTGAAGCAATATGTCCAGACCAAGCCTCGATTGAACCACGCCTGGGCTCCCGCCGATCCTGTCGTCACTGTGCGGCTGAGCTTGCCGAGGTCGAAGTAAGGTTCGCTGATGGCCTGCTTGGCTGGCAGCGTGGGTGGTGTGAGGGATCCCATGCTGCAGACGCAGATGCGTGTTGTGTGGGAGGAGACATCCACGCTCGCTCGGTCTCCCGCAAGTAGCAACGCCATGTACCTTCATGTTGCCGAGCAGTCCCGTTCTTTGCGGGGATGCGGGCTCGCTTACTAGCGGCCGAGTGCCAGTGCAATTGGAGCAGCATGTCGTGATGACTCCAGAGTTTGACAGAATGCTCGCCATCCACGTTGTGAGGGGATGTCAGGTGAAAGCCCACCTGACCCTGGATCCGATCAACTTGACCAAGAAATCTTATCATTCCACCATGTCTGCGTTAATCACCCCTCCCGAGCTTCGACGACGTTGGGTCACCCGCCAGGAGATTGCCCTGCTCGACGTCCGCGAAGAAGGACCCTACTCCATCTCGCACCCCCTTTGGGCCCTCAGTGTGCCAATCTCCGAAATCGAGGACAAGTTGCCCTCCTTGGTCCCCCGACTGTCGGCGCCCATCGTCGTCTATGACGCTGGCGAGGGCTACGTGGAGCGCGCCGTCGCGAGCGTCGAGGCTCTGGGCTACCACGACGTCGCCATCCTGGAAGGTGGTCTATCTGGCTATGCCAAAGTGGGCGAGCTCTACCGCGACGTCAATGTCCCATCCAAAGCCTTTGGCGAGCTCGTAGAGGCCATCCGACAGACGCCATCCATTTCCGCTGAGGATGCAGACAAACTTCTGGCGAGCAATGACAATGTCGTGGTGCTAGACGTCAGGAGATACGAGGAGTACCACATCATGAGCATCCCGCACGGCCGCAGCTGCCCCGGTGGCGAGCTCCTCTATCGCATCTTTGAAGCCGCGCCCTCTTCCGATACCACAGTGATCGTGAACTGCGCAGGCCGCACACGGGGGCTCGTGGGTACGCAGTCTCTTTTGAATTCTGGGGTGCCTAATAAGGTCATGGCGCTAAGGAATGGCACCATTGGATGGACATTGGGAGGGTTGCCACTCGATCAGAACAAGGCGGTCCGAGTTCCATTGCCCTCGCAAGAAGCCGGCGTGAAGGCACGCCACCATGCGGAAGCGTGGGCGAAGCACGTGGGCGTGCCGGTTATTGATGCGGATGAGCTGGCACGACTCGTCCAAGACAGGGACTCCCGGTCGCTGTACCTACTAGACGTCAGAGATCCAGAGGAATACGCGGACGGGCATGTCAAGGGTTTCACGTCTGCGCCTGGCGGGCAGCTGGTCCAGGCCACTGATGAATGGGTTGGTGTCCGAGGGGGTCAAATTGTGCTCTACGATACGGACGGCGTGAGAGCCCGAATGACAGCTACATGGCTCCTCCAACTTGGCTGGGAGGTCTACGTCCTGAGCGAATCGTCCCCAGTGCAAGATATCGCCCCAGATCAAGAAGCACCCTCTTGGCTGGCAACAGAGCTTCCAAGTATCACAGTGGATGAGCTGACGAGCATGGAGCAAGTGACAGTCGTCGATCTTGCACGGAGTCCCGCCTACAAAAAAGGCCACATCCCAGGCTCATGGTTTGCCTCAGGTCCAGAGCTCGTGCGCGACCTTAACAACATGCAGGATGCCAAGAATAATATGGTTGCTTTGACTTCCCTGGACGGACGTATTGCTGCGGCGAATGTGCAGCATGCACGAGACATGACCGGCCGGCAAGTCGCATATCTAGTGGGCGGAACGCAGGCTTGGGTGGAAGCTGGGAGACCTCTGGAAACAGAGCCGCGTTGGCTCTCCCAGCCAATTGATGTGTACAAGAGGCCGTACGAGGGTACCAGCAATGCGCGCGAGGACATGCAGGCGTACATTGACTGGGAGCATCAGCTAGTTGCGCAGCTTGCCAACGACGGTGTAGCCTGCTTCCATGTGAAGCGAGGGATGGATGATGGTGGGGATTAGATCTGATCTCTGCCAGACCTCCTGAACAAGGTGGTCATAATCACAGTCCAAGTTGACTTCCGCAAAAGCTACTCAACTTTGGCAATGTGCATCTACAAGAACATTGACATCCCGATGGCTCGGGTGAAACGCCTCGCATGCACGCTGTAGACAAAGACCATTGGGATCTGTTTGCAAGTTTTGTTGTGCCAGCTTGTGGAATGCAAAGCCACGCGCTCGTCTCAAGCTCCGATATTGGAGAGAATGAAAACTGTCAATGTGTATAGGACAGAGTACAGGCCGGGTAAGTTGGGCCAAACAACACGATGGAGCAACCCTCAGCACGAGGGATGACCCTTCATATGCAGCAACCAGTCGTCACACAAAGGATCTTCATCTTCTATGGACAGGCGGGATGACACCATCAATTGATAGCGGGTACGACTGGCACAGCTTCAATGGACCTCAAGAAGTGGGAAAACAGGCTACAACAATGATATCGAAATGGGCCCCACGTCTGACAGTTCCGGACGCCGTTCGAGATGGGAAGGCAGCAAGACGAAAAGAACATTGCGCGAGTGCTGTCGGACATGAATGCTAATAGAACGAGGGCATATTTCCACACGGCATTTCAGAGACGCTACCTGCTGAGACTGCGTTTGTGGTGTACCACCAGAAGTCCGTGTGAGCTGGGCATAAACCGTAAACATGCGCCCGGGTCGCAAAGTGCATCCAGAAAGTTCTCGTTCTGTGGAAATGAGTGGAAGTCGCTCTTGGAATTATGCCTGTTCCGACTGTATACAAGATGTTCATGGTGTTGTTATAAGCTTCACTCTGGCTTCACAGCCTGGGTGACCATCGAGGCGGCAGCGGTAGTGCGATATTGTGTGGAATTTCTTGACAGTATTATGTGACGAGTAGGTACATGTTGAAGATTGATCGGCGATAGAGACCCGGCTGAGACTATTCCAAGTCGCAAGAGATGAGTACTTCGTCGCGTCATGAGACGCAGGGACTAGTTTGCTGCGCGTTGCTGGGTGTTGTCACACAAAGGGGCGGAGGACTTCACAAACTCCTCGAAAAGGCGCACTCTACACGCATTTTACGGAAACACATCTTCTTCTCTGTTATGGTGCGTTCTCCGCTCTGATACTTCATCCTACACTTTTTTACATGTACTTCAGCCTACACTCTGTTACTTCATCCTGCGTTCTAAAGCCTACTTCTCTTGACCTTCTCTTCCACAACAACCTGCCTTCACAAGTTTATCTCGATCACTCACACTTATTCCTTCATACTCTTCCCTACCTATATATAACATCCAGAACGCAAACATGGCCCCGACAACCCCTCCAAAGAAATCTCCGTCAAAGTCAGCCAGCCCTCCGACCAACGAAACAGAGCACCTGAAAGCGGGAGCAAAGACCACTTCATCTTCACCCCCGGTCAAGGTCAAAACCGAAGACGACTCTGAGCGCGACTCGCTGTCTGCCGTTCCGCCCCCACCCAGCACTTCTGACCAAAAAGCCTTCGAAGTAGAGGAGCAGACTGCCGACGAGATAGTCGCTGATGTCAAAAACCTCATCCCCAATGAGGTTCCAGCAAGCTTGGCAGCTGAGCAACACGAGTCTTTGAGCACGTTCGTGAGGGTCTTGGAATACCCAGCGGAGATTATGCTGACATGGAATGAGCAGCTTGTACTGTGATGCGCTGTTTACGGATCTGACCATCGCCTGCAAAGACCAGACATTCAGTGTGCACAAGGTCGTCGTGTGCACGCAGTCTAGTGTCCTTCGACATTACGCCATGACACCGCCAATGTACGTTGCCTATTCGGGGGGAGCTTCAGAGAACGCGGCATAGTACTCTGGAGCAGTTTAAAGATGGAGTCCTGGTGATGCGCATCTCCCGAGCCGACCTCATGCAAGCGGCCATTCAGTTTCTGTACCTCAAGGTGTACGAGCTGCCTTCCCCGGCACCTGAGAAGAAGGTGTGGTCCACGAGTATGAGCCGCCGTCCGTTGCAGATCCTTTTACATCACTGACCTACCTTTAGAGCCCAAGCACAGCGTGGCCGAATTCCTTTTCAGCTTGGAGCTCTACGACTTGGCCGATAAACTACATCTGCCCACCCTCAAGACCAACATTGTCCAGCAACTCGCCAAGTGGAACACGTACAAGCGCAAGGTGGTCAACTTTCCCACGTTCCACGAGGCGATCAACTTTATTGCGGACAACATCAGTGACAAGAACGATCCCATTCACGACGCCGTTGCGAACGTGCTCGCCCGCAACAAGAAGGTTCTGCGGACGGGTGATATGTTGGAGTGGCTAAAGGTGCGCCCGGAGATGATTTTGGATCTCCTGGCTCGCATTTGATACAGACGAGGCACGAAGACATTTTCCAAAACAGGCCTGGTCTCCTTGTATCAGATCCTACCTGGACTCTGGTCCATTTGGTACCCGTCCGGCAACAGTAGCTGGATTTGGCGTCGGTCAGGGAACATCCAGTTCACTGAAACATTTCACTGTCTCGTACCGCAGTGCAGCATTTAGCATTATTCACTTGTTTTCCTTTCAAGATTGGCAAAAAAAAGTATATGTCCAGTGCATGTACATGTCCTCAGCATGCTGCGTTCAGCCCTCCCGTATGCCTCAAGGCGCAGCCGTCGCAGCGGCAGCCAAGACGCTCGAGACACTGGTATAAGCAGGTTTCTTGTTAAAGTTCTCATCCCACAGCAGCGCGGCCCCCGATCCAGGGAACGTGCCGGGCACCCACGAATACTTGTCCGTATAACCCCAGACCGTGACGCCGACGCAGTCTTCCACGTCGAGGCACGAGCCGACGACATTGGCATAGTCATCGCCCTGCGTGGCGAGAGCCTGGTCACTCGGCGGCATAGACGCGTGGCGAATGTCGAGCTCCGTGTAGGCCACGTCGACACCGAGGGCGGTGAAGCGGCGTAGCGTGTCGGCGAGCTGATCGCGGGTGGGGGTAGTGCCGACGATGAGGTGACCTTGGAAGCCGACGCCATCAATGGGGGCACCGGCGTCCTGGAAAATCTGCACAATTTCAAGGGCACGCTCCGTCTTTTCCTGGTTGTACTCTAGGTTGTAGTCATTGTACCACAGGCCGGCGTCGGGGTCCGCAGCCTTGGCAGCGTTGAAGGAGATGGGGAGGAAGTCAGTGCCCAGGGTGTTGTAGAAGACGCTGCCACGCCAGCCACCGTCTTCTTCGGCCGCCTCGTTGACGACGTCCCAGTGGTAACACTTGCCCTTGTAGTGGCCGACCACGTTGGCAATGTGCACCTCGATGACGGACTGGAGTTCCTCTCGGGACCAGCTGCGGCTAGATACTGTCGCGGGGGAGGGGGGGTGTACACGTCAGTAAGGCCGTCTTTGAGGATTATTACGACAATAGAAGACAGCTTACCCCATCTAGGCAGCTGCGAGTGCCAGGTCAAAGTGTGACAACGCAGGATCTGACCATTGCGGGCCGCTACGTTGGGCACAATGTCGCCGCTGTCGTAGTTGAACTGGCCCTGGTTGGGCTGGACGCTCTCCCACTTCTGGCCGTTCTCGGGGACCAGCTGGCCGAACTCGTCCGTGTCCGAGGCGATGCTCATGTACTGCGAGTCGCCGGTCTGGCCCCCACCGATGGCGGTGCCGAAGTACTCGAGACCAGCAGCGCGGGCCAAGCTGTTCAGCTGAGCTTCCACCACAGCCGAGCCAGCGGTGGCCAAGATGGCAAGAAGTGATCGTGTGTGCATTGCGTCGGTCAAGGAGAGCCTTTGGAAAGATGTGAATTCAGATGTCGAGAGACGATACGCCACTGAAAGGGACGACGAGTGGACTAGAACACCTGGGGAGATGTGGAAGTCTTTTATACTAGGAACGAGAGGAAATACTTCATCCTGCGTCTCTGGCTCACGTCGAGTCTTGTTTAAAGTTGCCACATGCCGCCCCAGATTCACCACCGCCGAGCCAGCGTTGCTTGCCAAGTCAGGGGTGCGGAGGCAGATGCCTCCGGATCGGCAGATGAAATAGGCTAAATGCATGTGTGCAGCCATGGTCTGGGGAAGTATTTACGCGCTAGCCAAGCATACCACACTCGCCTTTCTCCCCTCTGTGTGTTTTACTTGCATCTTGCGGTCTGGAACCGTATGTTGAGTGCAGACGTGTGTGCTTGCTTGCACAAGCCAACGTGGTGCTGGAATTGGGCCCGGCCGGCTCATCGGAGGTTGTTCCACTTATATCCCCGCGTCCGAGTCCGAACCGTTATTGTGGGGAAGTCGGAGGTCCGCTATCTAGCATGTCTTCGATTCATCCACTAGACCGACACACTCCCACATGTCGATTTGTAAATTTTGCTTGCCGATCTTTTCAGACACGGGGTTCAGCCAGAATTTGGCTCTCTATGACGACAACGCAGCAAGCACACTTGCCAGGCTGAATAGCGAGCCTCCTGCCCTTGGTGGTCTTCACGCCGCGGTTACATATACAGGTACTAGCAAACGGCTATTGAGACCATACACTGCTCGAGAGAGTGAATCAGATAGTATAGGTGTATCTGTGGGCCAAACCTCAATGTACGTCAAACAGCCCAATCCAACATCTACAGTGCCCTTCCATAATGAAATCTTCATCCAAATCCAACGCCCAACGCCCCGCTAGAGCACAATTCGCAAAGTCATCATACGAACCAATGTCTCCAACCGCTATACGGTTTGAATACCCCAGTTGGGGGCCCAAAGAATGGTGCCCATGAGGCACCCTGATATAATCCCCGTCACAGGCACGGTGATGATCCACCCCAGATAGATCCACCCCACGAGCTTGGGGTTGATGCACTTCCAGTCACCATTGGCGAGGCCAACCCCCACGGTGGCGCCGGTGATGCACTGCGTCGTGCTGACAGGCAGCTTGAGGCGCGTGGCCATGAGCACCGTCACGGCAGACGCCAGCTCCATGCAGAAACCACGGCTGGGCGAGATGAGGGTCAGTCGGTTACCAAGCGTCCGCATGACGTGGTACCCAAACGTCAAGAGCCCGAGCACAATGGCGGTGCCACCAAACGCGAGCACCCAGGCGGGCACATGCAGCGAGTCGACCACCTCGCCTTGGGACCAAATATCGTAGGCCGTGATGAGGGGCGAGATGGCGTTGCTCACGTCGTTGGCGCCGTGTGTGAACGATGCCGCCGCCGCCGTCAGGATCTGCAGCGCAGAGTACATGTACTCTGCGCGGTTGTCAAAGTGCGCCGCGCGGGCGTGCATGTCTTCGATATCCCACTTGAGCACGAGGTTGCGCTTCTGCATGCTGACCACGTCCGCCTCGATCCCGCGCAGGAGGAAGCGGTTGACGCGCCAGCCGATCACGGGCCAGCTGTTCCACTGCCCTGACGGTCGGGGGGGGATAAAGGCATCCATGTTACTGCCGTTCACTTCCCGGGGCGGTGTCGGCCGGCGATGCGATGGTGAATTAGATTGGATGGCGGGCATGGGCAGCTCCAGAAACTCAGGCACATCGTTGGAGGGTGGCTGGTCGTCAGGGGTCTGCACGGACTGGAGAAGTGTCTCGGAGGCGCGGACGGAGGCGAGCTCTTCGGCCGTGAGATGGCCGCGGTAGTAATCCTTGATCTGCGGCTTGACATAGCCAAACGGTGTCGGGGGCGGCGGCTCGCGCTTGAGCAGCCACGGCCCCTTGAGGCAGTGGTACCATCGCAAGGTCCAGTCCTCGCGCATGATGCGGACCCAGAGAAAGGGCATGATGAACCAGGCCTGCAGGACGACGACGCCGGTCGCGGGCACGAGGACGGCAATGATGATGAGAGGGGTGGACATGTCCTGGCTCTTGACGCCCTTCCATGCGACCAGCATGGCGATGGCACCGACCGTCGCAAAGGTGAAGAAGGGTATTGTGTAGAAGGCTCGCTTGACTGCCGTCGGCTTCGCCAGGACAAGTGTCTTTGTAAAGAAGAACATGAGTCCGCCAATGACGCCGGCGATTCCTGGCGCGATGATCCAGGTGGCGAAGATCTGCGAGACGCCGTTGAAGCCCCAGTGCACCTTGTCGATGCCGACACTCGCTACCGCGGCGCCGACGATGCCTCCGATGATGGAGTGTGTCGTGGACACGGGCATGCCATACCTCGTGGCAAAGGTCAAGAAGATGGAGGACGCGATGACGGAGCACATCATGGCGAGGAGGAGCACTTGGGGGGACGCATCGTATAGGTGTGGGTTGACGATGCTCGTGCGGATCGTGTCGGACACGCGGTCGCCCACCGCAATGCTGCCTGCAAACTCGCAGACCGAGGCGACCACCATGGCTTGCTTCAAGGTCAGCGACCTTGAAGAGACGGACGTGGCGAACGAGTTGGCGACATCATTGGCGCCTGTGGTGGGAGCAAGGTCAGTCAGTCAGTGGCCTTGCCCTCTCATGTCTCACGCAAGGGGCAGCACCCACCAATGTTCCACGCATCGAGAAATGTGAAGATGAGGGTCAGCGCAAAGATATAGTCGTACTGATGGAGCACAGTCATGATGCAGGCAACCCTCGAGGGGAGCCATGCGGCTCAGGGCGTCTGCCTGCGTTTGCGCCGACGGTGCTGTCTGTGAGGTGGCTGTCGAGGACAGGCGCGTCACTATGCGATAATGTGCCCTTCAAGCGAGAAGATGATCATCCCATATGGTCTTTGTTCCTTGGTGGTTTGGACGCGGCGGCGGCGGCTTGTCTTGCCTGCTAGGTGTGTGACAGGCGACGATACGAGGGTACGTCCGGGGCGGAGTGTGGCATTATACGGAATGACCACGGACAATGAGAGGCTGCGTGCGTGGATGGAGGCAGGACAGCAGCACAACAAGCGCGCGATACTCGAGAGGAAACCTGAGCGAGCGAGAACCCTTGAACCCAATGCCTCAAGTACTCACTCGACTAGTTCGATCGACCCACTCATGTGAGCATCAGTACAAGCGTGCCAGTTCTTCGGACAACTGGGTGCCCGTGGCTCGATCCAAGATCCACCCACCGAAACGCTGAACCTGGTGGCCGTGCTCACGGGGCTTGTTGTGATTCGACGATCTGGGGCCTGGGCATCGCCATGCTCGGATGCCGTCTCGAGTCTGACGGGCACTTGACATGCAGCCACGCCACAGCGAGAGCAATCGAGCCCAGGATGATGCTCTTGGAGGGGACTCGGAAGCGTGAACCCTGCAAAAGGAAGGACGGGCGGACTGCGCAAGATTCGACGACTTGCCCATAATTATCAAAGCTGGGCTGGTGCTGGATGCACGTCGTCGTGGAGTAGCGGCCAATGGCGTGCGGGTTATCGCCCACGAGGTCTCGACCTCGACGCTCATGGCGGCGCAACCAAGGGTCAACTTCAAACTCCGTAAAAATACCTCTAGCCTGTCTCCGCAATCGACAAGTGAAGGCAGAGTGCAGGCATGATCATCCTCAATGTCTTCTCTATTGACCGTGTGAGCCTCAAGTACACAGCCAGTGACGGGCAAACAACACCCACATCGTCTGCGTTCGCACGGCACTTCACACTCAGTAGAAGATGGCAGGATCTGGCAAGCCACACCAAGCGGCACGAAACTCAACGACAAGGTGTCTTCAGCTTCCAGGATCATCAAGCTATCCCGCCCACGTGGACCGTTCGCTTAGCTCCCGAGACTCGGTCGCGGGAGGCCTGGCGCTAGTGCCTGTGGTCACAGATACTGGACAGGGTACGTACTGTAGGGCAAGACAGGGCAACAAGTGTGCAAGTAATAATCAGGCAGCCAGTGACTGTGGGTGGCCATCTCCTCGATGGAGCAAGCCGTCTAATGTTAAATCATGTGGACATGATGCCCAGACAATGTCCGTATGAGAACGAAGCTTCGAGGCGCATCCGGCCACGTGGATGATAGTGGCAGCTCCTGGTCTCTTGGACCTGCTTGCTCCTCGCCGTGCACGGGCTGCTGCTGGTCGTGTCGAGGTGGTAGGGACTGCAAAAGTCTTGTTGCACCCTACGTGTAGACTGGCCAGCGTACGACCGTCACTGTCTCGAGTCGGGTCGGCCCCCCACCCCAGAGATCATCGCAATCGCCCCCACGGCCCTCCACGGAGGATATGAGGGCACTCGTACATGTGGTAAGGAGGATCAAAGGCCCGCAGACCTGCTGCCTTCCTTCCTGTACGTAACGAGGAGGATGATCTGACCGTGATGGAACGCCACGGCACAAGGGCTCACCCCCAACGAACCTCTCGCGTACGACAGCGCCGAAGAGGTTTTCGAGAAGATGCCCCCGCAGATCATGATTCCTACCGCATGCGGTGGCATGATAGACCCCAAGGCCGCACGGTAAGGACAAGACCACGAATTGCACCAGTGCCCGCCTGAGACATACTCTCTGTCCCTTCCAGAGACAACTCCAAATCTTTGTAGCGAGTGCAAGGGCAACGCCACCGGTGGTCAGTAGTGTGCCGACGGGACAGGCTGAGCAGCTTCAAGCTACTCTAGATCTCCTGTCACCGCCGGGGTGGAACATGGATGTGTGGACATGAGAATGTTCAGAGTCGCGATAGAGAGCGCGGGCGACAAAAGGGATTTGTGGAGGACGTGTGAGCGCCAGTTCGTCATTCACCGTTGAGAGATGAAAGAAAGTGCATGTGCTCATCATATCAAAGTCGTGTCTGCTAACACAGGTAACGAACGGTCTTTCCTTTTTTTTGTGGGGAACCCGCGCCCTACGCGAATTCCCGTCGTCGCATTCCGATCCTCGGCCCACCACAAAATGTCATCATCACCACCATCTTCCCCCATTGCCACCTTGACTCTCTCACGTCTGCTTCTTCCTCTCCCTTTGCAACCCACAACAATGACACGACAAGCACTTCTACGCTCCTTCCCTCGCATTGTGCCGCCCACGAGGGCAATCAGCATACGCACATACGCCTCCTCATTCCGCCCCGGCCCCGCGCCCCCCAAGCTACCCGCCGAACAGCAAGCCGAGTTTGAGCGTCTCCAGCGCCAGGCAGCCGTCTCGTCGGCCTTCAACCCGCCCACGAGCGCTGACGCCGCATCCCCAGAGTCCAAGACGTCAGAGACCGCCGCTGCCGCCAAGGGGACCCCAGGGGACGGCGAGGGGGAAGAGGAGGCCTTCAACCAGGGTCTCTTTCGCGGCGCCAAACCAGAGTTTAGGGGCGACGTGAATCCCAAGACGGGCGAGGTTGGCGGGCCCAAGAACGACCCGCTGCGATGGGGCAGCTCCGGTGAATGGACCTACAATGGTCGCGCGACGGACTTTTGAGAGAGGAGAGGGATGGGTCTCTACAGAGCAACGACGAGCGATAGGTCCGCGACCTGGGCCGCCTTGGACTCCGCGTCACGCGTACAATTTGGACTCTACACAATCGATATGCGTTGGAGACCTTGCTGGCCGTCAAGATGTCGTGGCCGCTGTTCTACACCAGGCCGACGTTTTGGCCAGGTGGACAGCCGGAAGGCATAAACGCCCGCAGGCATTCCTACATGGTTACAGACGACCAAGATACACTAGATGGCATGGACGTGGAGGAATTGTGACGCTGGATACCATATACATCATGTATGATTACGTGTAATAATTCATATCGACAGGGTATCTTGCATACCCAATCACCCAGGCTCCGTCGCTGCAGACATGCATTAATCATATGGCCTTTTCCAATCTCTCAACTCCGTGCGAATGTCATGTTTCGTATCGTACAGTCTCAAGTCCAACTTAGTCCTTGGCCCCGGCTGACCCGTCGGCGGGCGCCTCTTTCATCTCCACGTCGGGCGACTTACGCGCCTGCCCCTCCTCGCCGGACTGCTTTGCCGGCGTTGCGTGCTCGCTCGCATCTCGATTCTCCTTGTTGCCCTCATTGTTGTCGCGGTCGTTCTCTTGCTCACCAGTCGTCGCCCCGGCGGTCTTCTTCTCTTTGTCCTCCAACTGCTGCTTCATCCACCCATCGCTCCGGATGCGCTCCGTGTGCCCGGTCTGTTGCGTCACACGCGTCTCCTGCATGGCCTTCCGCATCCGCTCGCGCCTCGCCTTGCCCCGGAGTCGTGCTTGGGGTTCTGCTCCGTTCGCCACCCAGCGTATTCCATGAACCATGAAGCTCAGTCCGTCGTGGGTGATGTGTCGCGAGCCATGCTCGCCGCCAAACTCGCGGCTGCGGATACCCCATTGCGTCGTAGCGGTATACTTGGTAAGCCTCGGCAGTATGAGAACGTTGACGTGAAGGTCGCGCCCGGCAGGTATCGGCATAGGCCCCGCCTCGGGTGGTGCGCTGACGAGCTGCTCCGACAGAAGCTCATCCCGCGTAAAGTCGCGTCTCTTCCTATTGCCGCCCTCGGGATCGATCAGCGCCATGTCGACCTCCTCATTCCACTCCCCCATGATCCAGCCACCGTGAATGCAGGCCGCAATCACGTCCGAGTCGTCCGTGTACACGTTCGTTCCCCATAAGTAGCCTCTCGCCGTGATCTCCTCGCGGGATTCACGGGACAGAAATACTCTCGGTACCTTGACCGTCAAAATACTATTGACCTTTTCCTGGATCAAGCTCCATGGAAGCGGAGCGGGTCTTGAAGCGAAACCCCGGTAATTCTGCGGTTGTGGCACCAGTCGCTGTGGTTTCAACTCGGAGCTGTAGATGAAATCCCCAATGTGCTGTCGAGGAAACTTGGCGGCCGCCTCCAGGACCTCTTTTGAGGACACCTTCTTCTGAACCTTGGGCGGGATCGGAGGCATCGTCGGCTGAGCCGCCTGTTTGTTCCCGTTACGCTGTGCGTGGTGATGGTGGTGGTGGTGGTGGTGGTGGTGATGGTGGTGAGGAAGCCCGTTTCGCTCGGTCGCATGGTCAACTTGCGCGCCACCTTTGGCATGCTTGGGGGGCGCGCTCGCTCGCTGTGCGGCCTCCTCTTGCGCTCGGTGGTGATGATGGTGGTGATGACTGTACACGTTAGCGGATGGCCAGCTCAGGCCACAAGAGACATACTGATGGTGATGAGGATGACCCTTGGCCTTCTTGGCTTTGTGGCCGGGAGTCAGCCGTCCTGAGCTGTCATCATCGCGACTCTCGTCATCCTTGAGCTTCCTCCTCCTGCCTTTGCCTTTACCAGCCTCTGTGCCAGCCTCGTTGTCCAGGTCCTCGCGCTTAGCAAGCGAAGCACTCGTGAACGGCCCCGAGGATCCTGTTATGGGGCTTGAACCACCAAGTCCGCTCACACCGCTGCCAATTCCAGAGAACATGCGTCCGAACTCGTTCTTAATACCGGGCTCGCCAGCTGGACTTGGTTGCTGTGGCTGTGCGCCCTGAACGGCTTGGGGCAGAGGCGATAGGCGGCCCTTGCGGTTCTCTTGCTGAATGGCTAACAGATTGCGCTGATGCCCCATGCCAGCCGTTGCGTCCTCGCTGTTTCGGTGTCGCGCGCCATCGTACAGGCCGTCTCCTGGCATATGGTAGGGGCCGGGCGGTGGTGCTTGAGGCGGTGCTTCATCCCCGGGTCTACCGCGTGGACCAGCGTGCGCGTGCAAAGGCGGGTGTGCCTGCTGGTGCTGCGGTAGTAGGCCCATCCGGGCGCGCTCGGGTGATGATTCATATGGCTGTTGGCCACTAGGCGGTTGATGGCCCTGGGGCTGGTGCTGATGCTGTTGGTGCTGCTGCTGCTGCTGCTGAGGTACATGGTTTGGTGGGAAGCGATCAGGGGGCGACGCAATATGGCCCCCTGATCCTGGAAACGGCGCCGATGTGTTCGGAGGGTATTCGGGCGCGCGTTGATGCTCCATGGGAGCCCTGAAACTCGGATCACCTTGCCTGGGACCCCATCTGGCAGCCTCCCGAGGATCCCGATATTGCGGTTGTCCCTTCGGCGCGTCGTGTTGGTGAAGGGGATGTCGTCCCGACTCACTGCCCGAGTAAGCACGCTCTCGCCTCTCCACCTCTCGACGCTCCTGCTGTCGTTGCTCCATCTCGTACTGCCGCTCACGCTCGACTCGAAACCGCTCGTCGTGTGGGTAGCCCGGTCGCAATCCTACCCGCTCCGGATTGTACTCTGGACCCGGGTAGGGCCTGCTCACCTCCTCTCGTCGGCCATAGCGATCTTCTGGCCGCGGGGGCATCCCTGGGTACTTGGGCTGGCTGTTCGGCCGCGGGGGCGGCGCAGCGATAGCTCCTGCCATCCTTGCAGGATCGCGCGAGGGGTCGGCGGAAGCCGACATGTGGCGCGCATGATATGTCGCTTGCGGTGTACTATATCGGGGGACGTCGGGCGTTGCGTACGATGGCCCCCGGGGAGACGGCGCAGCGCTACCCCGAGGGTCATATGGTCGTTGGTGATCGGGCGTTTGCGGGCGTCGAAATGCCGGGAAGTCTGTCGACGCGGACTGCATCTGCGGCGACCCGTGAGGCGGCGGTGCGAAGCTCGAGGCCGACCCGGGAGGTGGTGCCGTCGAATGAGAATACTGCCCCTGCTGAATATGCGAACCACCCAACAGAGAGGAGATAGACATGGAACCTCCGGGAAGTCCATGCCTACCGGTGAGTGAGCTTAACGCAGGGAGCTCACGTCCACCTCCGAAGGACGACTGAGGCCCGACTGCTAGGGATGGCGCCCGAGGTGCAGGCGGACCCGAACCATAGCCTGGCATGGCATGCGGCGGCGGCTGATGAGGATGATGTGGATTGTGCGCGCCCTGCTGTGGCGGTGAATTCGGCGGCGCCATGTTGCGACCACGGCCGCGGTCGCTGTTGGCTGTCAGAGACGTGGCGCGTCGATGATGGGTCGCCTGGTCGAGAGAATACGATCGCGTTGCGGTCGGGGGTGGTTGTGGAGGTGCGTCGGACAGTCGTCGCGGACGGGCGGACGCCTGTGAGTCTAGCGCCGGGCTTCTTCGGGCATAAGGCTGATGAAATGGAGGCGCAGAAGCTGCAGCTTCTGGTGGAAAGGGGGTTCGCGAAGAGGCTGCGTTGCCAGAATTGGGATGTGACAACGAAGCCGAATGCCCAGGATCCATAATACTGATGGCGATCGGGTTTTCAGGTCACAGGCGGGTGGACCGTGAGTGGATGACGGCGTGGACGGCTACAGGCCTTGAAATTCCGGCAGCCTCCAGTCCTGCCTGCAGCTGCGACAAACAAGGGCCGAAAAAATCGGGCGGGATTGGGCAGGAGCTTGTTGGGCAGTTGGAGGCTGGGCTGGGGGAAGCTTTCTCCACAGTCCAGTTCTCGGATTTTGCTCACAATGACAGCACGGCGCAGGCCCTGTGGAGCGTCTGGTCTCGCGATAAGGCAGGCGGATTGTACACGTAGGTGCGCAGATGCCCTTGGTCGGTCAGGCAACTCACCGCCAGAGGGAAAGCGGTGTCGCGCAACGGTCGAGACGGAGCTGCAAAGCGCTGGGTCGCAGAGTACTTGTTGTCGCAGACATGCGGTGAGCAAACTCGATTGTTTGAGGTCTGGAAACCTGGGCTGGCGTGTCGTGCAGGCAATCGTCGAGGGTTCGCGAGGTGACCCCGGTCGCAAATTTGGCGCGCGTGCGCTTGAGGCGTGACCAACAGGACTCAGTGGTGATCCACGCTCCCGGCTGCCCTGGGACGGTCGCGGCAGTACACGCGTTCAGGTGACTACTGATTTAAGACGACGCCAGGGATGACTTTGCAGGCTTTCAAGATGATCGAGTGGGAAGAGATGCGTGCAGTGCAGGATGGGAGACATGGAGACTGGACTTTGCGCGAGAGCTCTCCTTTGTCCATGGCGGAAGCAACAATGCATGCATACATGCATGGATGCGGATGCATGGGATGAATGGATGCATCTCACTCGACAGTGCCGCCGCTTGCTCGCCTTCAACGGCAGATAGTTTTTACTGTGAGGTACTTCATCTCTGCATGAAGTGCGACTACTGACCCTGGGTGATATCTGTTTGACCGTAATCTTGTTAAGCGCAACGAACGCGAAGCGCCCCGGCACAGGGATGAGTTCAGCACCAAGTTTTGGCTTCTTGAGATAGCTCCGATGTGTTTGGCTCGTGACAGCTGGGGACCCTGGCATTCCTCCAATTCAATCACGCAATCTGAGGAAAGCAATCCACGATTCCCGCTATGATCAGAAACAGCATTTATCGCCCATGAGCGTGCTGATGGAGAAGTGCTCTTCGGGCTGGGAAGGAAGGTTGCGGTCCAAATGGTTGTCTGTGAGGTCACAGACGACTCTGTTGAAAGCACGTGGAACGACACTCACGATCTTGTGAGTGAAGAGCACGATTTCTAATCGTGTTTCCTCGGCTGGAAGATCGTTCATACGTTCACGATCCCGTTGCCATGGACTAATAAGGCGGGTGGATGCTACATTGGTGTAGGGTAAGCCTTCCAATAGAACGTTGGATGTGATAAGTTTATATTGAGCCATCAGACCACCAAGACAAGTCTGCGTTAAAGGTTTGGTAGGCCAACCCGCCAAGATCTAACATGCGCGTATTCGAGCATAGTCAGGTTGAACGGCATGGATTAATCTAATCTGGGGGTTGTTATCAAACACTGCTGGGTGATGTATACACCCTAAAAAGTGCTGCCTCGAGATTCACAGTGTGGTTTTGATGATTTCGAAATTCTCTATTATGTGCATTCCGGGGCTATATATTATTTATGGATAGCTGAAGTGGAAAAGTAACAGGCAGTCCGAGGCTTTCATCAACCACTGCACCAATTCTTAAGATCCGCCTTACACTAACACGAACCATGGCAACACTTACCATAACGTGGGGAAAACCACTATGGCTGCCGTGCGAACTTCTCTATGAATTGTACGCCTTGTCGATCCGGTGTCCAGGGGTTCTGCTGTAGTATCAGACAACCTCTTCCCATCGCCAGTTGTTCGATGCTTTCCAGCTCTTGTTGGCGAACGACACTGATAAGACTACATGTACTATGCGCGCCTATCTTTCAAAGTACCCTTTATTAAGCTTGTCATCATGTTTGGGCCCAGTTGCCAACATCTTGGCGCTCTTCTTGCTACATCTTTGGAGCTGCTCACCTCCGGCTCACTTTCATGGCCGAGGCTGTGCTGGGCTGATTCCAGCTGCATTGTAACTCACAACCCCATCCGCAAAACTAGATCTTGTTCAAGACTGAATATGGTGATCTGAGTCAAGCGCTTATGGAAGCACGAATGCTGTACTACTGGCGCGGAGAACCCCAAGCCTTCAGCTTCCAGTCCGTTTTAACACATCCAGAGGTACGTTGTCATGCGCCAGCATCTGATGTCTCGCGCCAGTAGCCAAGCCCAGAAGATCACCACTCTTGGTCCAGACTGCGATCTGGCGGTATTTTGTGTGTATCAAATCGTCTTTACGTAGGAACGCCACGATTTCCGATGACATACCCTTCACTTAGATGGCACAACCATCTCGTCAAGGCATATCTTTAGCCGGCCTCACTGCTAAAATAATTGCTGCTCGCGGGCACCATCAATTTCCCAGTCTCAAGGGAGAGCTGGCGCCATGGGAGCAGTCGCCGGGCGTCCAAGGCCCGACATTGTCCCCCAGAGGAATCAACACCATCATTGTCTATCCGGGCTCGTTCAACGCTCCCCACAAAGGCCACAGAGACTTGCTCGAGCACGTCATGAGGAACGCAGGCGAAGATCTGAATGTCCGCACCGCCATCATCGCCCCAACAGATGACGAAAGACTGGCTCGGAAGATGAAGAATGACCACCAGGCGCCGCTGCTGTCCAAAGCGCAGCGGGTGCTCCTGCTGCGCATGTCGGGAATGGGAGAGGGCGAGAGCTGGGCATGTAGCGGATCCCAGAGTGACCTCGGGGATCTCATCGCGGCCTTGAAGACTGATTTTCAAGGACAGGATATCCGCGTACAATAGGTCATGCTGGCCGGTCCAGAGAATTTCGGGCCAAACGGCGCTCCGAACCCGCTGTTCTGGGGCTGTCCGCATGCCATCACGAGCAACGTGTCTCGTCCTTGCGAGGTCGCTACGGACGGGTCACTTCAACTGAAGGACGTCTGGGGCTTTACCGAGTGGAAGAGGGTCAAGTTCGATGAAGCGCGACTAGCCAAACAACTCAAGGTCAAGGCCCAGATGAGAGGGCTTGGAGTGGACTCGAGCGGTACGTGTGGCCTACCTTGTGACACCTCTCTTCCAGCAAGACCTGATAAACCACAGAGATGCAAGCGGCGGTGGAAGCCGCCGTGATCAATATGAAAAGTTTGAGGCAGACTCGCCGTCATCGATCCCCTATCAACAAGGGCAACGGTCTCACTCGCTTCGTGTTTGCCCAAGATCTCAGCAACGGCCGACCCGATGCCCCAAGTTCATCGAGAATTCGAGAATTTTTGAAGAAGATTGCCGCTGGGGATAGGTCGGACGAGGTCCTCGGGGAACTTGGCAGCATGGCACTATGCACAGACACGCTTGTATCATACATTGAGACGTATCAGGTCAACCCAGAGCTGAGGAAGATCCAGGAGTCAGCGAGGGAAAAGGCTACGAAGCAATTGGAAGTCGAGTGGTGAGATGAGAGAAGGAACGCATGGACCTTTGAGACATTGTGGGTTGTAGGGAGGGTTCGGGCGAGAAAGCAGACTGCTGAAAGACCCCAGACCAAGGAATATCTGCTAATTAGACCACCTTCTGTTACAACTGGGGCCAGTTCGCGAGCGAGAGCCGAAGTCCCCCATCCCATTGTAAATTTCGCTGTCTCCGAGGGCTGTACGGCAGCTCTGCGATGCTTGTGCCGGCAGATGTTTAACTGGTGAACGAGAGGAGTAAACTGGAGGGGCGTGAGGAGAATTGTCGGGTCGCAAGAAGAGCCCAACTTTGTACAAGCGTTTCGATATGTGCAAGGTTCTCTGCAGTCAAAATCGTCTGTGCCGTGGTCCGAGACAACATTTGCTGAGCCAGACACGTGCCGAGCAGCAATTGAGTTCGACCACATCTTCGTGACTACCGTTACCTTTAATTATGCCAGCTGGCATGATCCCGCCATTGGTGGAAGTGCAACATCCTCCTGCACGTGATGGTGATGGTGAGACACTGAGACAACTTGACTCGTCGACAGGGAAGCTTGCGACACTAATAGCTGCTAGCGACCGCGCTTACCGCCCAGGCCCAAGCGGCCCGGCGTTGACAGATGGAGAATCGAGAACACCTGGTCAATGTAGAAAGCGAATGAGTGGAAACATGAATGTCATGACCGACGGAAGCGGTCGTAGGACTAGTAGCGCGGCTTGCAGCAGAGAAGCAAAATCAGAGTTTGCTACAAATAGCAGAGGGAAGTGTGCTGCGATTATCGAGGCTGGAATACTATAGTGTATAGTTTTTAATAAAGCCGAGACATTCAACTTGGTCTGTTAGCTCAGTTGGTTAGAGCGTCGTACTAATACGCCATAAGTGTATCAAGTGATGCGAAGGTCAGCGGTTCGACCCCGCTACGGACCATTTCTTTTGCCGAAGAGAGAAGATTGTAGATTGTTTTTTGCGTGACCTCACTTTGTTCATTTTTGTTACCGAGCTGTGAGGTGAGAGAGGTGCGCTTAGAGATATGCCTCGTCTTTCTCGCTCCTAAACCACTAAGATTCCTTGCATATGAAGTACATTGCGTTCCTTTGTGTCTCGAATCGATTTAGTCAGCCCATACATATATACCAAGTGACCTTTGGTTCTCTCACATTTTGAGGAGAGTATTTTGCTCAATTACCGGCTTTTAGCTTATTCATGCAGGTCTATAGCCGATCACCCACCTCAACGGTATTTATGGACAGGATAAATTGGCATTCTGGGGGATCTCTGACTGACCCCTCCATGTCGCTGTCGCGAATGCAGGAAGCCCACCGCTGGACCGGTGGTACGGGACGTTCCTCGCGCCTAGGCTCCAGGTGCCGGCCAAGTGGATGTCCGCCGGGACGGCCCACGATGGTGCTGACTGAAATGAAGTACTGAACAGAGTCCAGTCATCTGACGTCCTCTGGTGATCACAACGGTCGGTCCTAAGTGTCCTCCGCTGCGAGGACTGAACCCCCTCGCCAACTCCAAGCCCCGCAACGTCGTACGTAGTACGTATACAACCTGGAGGAGGCTTTGATCGGCGCACCTTGCTGGTCAGGTACCGACGTGACCACTGACAGGCAGTGACGGACGAGGGCTCGGGGCGGCCTGGTGAGTTCACCAGCGACGAGTCTGCGGCTTTGTCCTCTTGGGGGGCTTTGCAAAGCCGGCATGCAGCTGCCATACAGATTCAGGATCATACCAGATACTAAAATAGCTGGCACGGACATCACTGCTACGTATTGCAAATCCAGGACCATGTTTCTGGGACGAAACCCTCCAGGCCAATATGACCTAGCTGGGGCCGAATAAGTTGTGAATAATAGCATGACGCTTCAGCGGGACCACAACGGCCGCACGGTCTCTAACAATGCCTGCGTCAAGGGACCATTCATAGCGTCTGACTGGACGCAACGAGCCCCAGCACTTGCTGGAGCCTGGTGTACGGAGTGGGACATCGATAATAACGGATCGTCAAGGCCTGCCAGGGCAATGTTACTGTAGAATCCAACGATGGACCCGACTCCCCGAGCGCTGGTTAGTCCAATCAGACACACGCGAGTGTTCCCACGCCAAGCGCCACCGTTAATAAAGGGTCCATTCCGGTCCCGCCGTCAGCTCAAGGGGGGTGTCCAGCGCAAGTCTGCGCCGTCTCGTGGAGACGGAGACGTCAGTGTCCATGGCGATGTGGGAACTGGACGACTTGGCTTGATGACGGCGTTAGCAGGTCTGAGGTTGGCGAAAAAAATTTAAGGTTCCATTTCCGTGTGAGACGCTGCCGACGTGGTGGGCGAAACAAGATGGGCGCACGGCAAAGGGCTGTACCAAGGCGCTGGGTGCCGTCCGTGGAGAACCTAACAGAAGTCAGCCCAGGACAGGGGCGGCGGCGATTGAGGAGAGGACTGGCGGTGTTCAGCTTCTGCAAGCAACTCAGCTAATCGGTGCTAAAGCACAACATCAGGAGAACGTCTGACTCATGGAGCAGGCTTGTTGGATTGACTCTTTTGACAGGTAGGGACGTAGGAGCATGTAGGCATCCGTACCTGGCTGGGCTGAACCGCGACCAAGGAGTCAAGAAGCGTTCTGATTTTCACCAGCGACCACGCGGTCCATCCGTGTCGGGATCGTCAATGTCAAACCACCTTCCCAGATGGTCGATTCAAGTTGGTAGACGGGCTGAAATGGGATGCTTTCTGATAACGGACCTTAATTAATGATTATGAAAGATTTATATCAGCCTTTCAGTCTACGTACTGCACAGTAGGGGAGTGGACGCATGTACGTATTGGCCCCCAACCAGTCTAGTCTGGTATTATCTGGCTGCCAGACAGCCACCAGGCCATCCCGGCTCTGGCTCCATCCACGTGCGTGTTGACCGGTTTCTTCTTTGGGCAAGTCAGCCGCCAGGTGCAGCAGATCACACACGATTCGAAATATGCAGTGTGATTGACGATTGGGAATGCCGCTACTCTGTGCTGTACTTTCATAATAGTTCCGCAGTAGATGTCAATGCCGTCGTGGGATTAGGAGTGTCGCGAATCTTCTTGCTACGGACTGCGCAATCTTTGACATTCAGTTCCCCGCCATGGTATTAAGCTTCGTGGTTGGAATGATTGCTGTCCCGTGGGTTACGGGGCGCTGAGGCCGGCAATTGACTCCATCCACGTGTGCGCATGTATCTTGTATGCATGGGTGAAGCGGGCCGCTGTCGAATTGTTGGACGGCTGTCACTTGCGGCACTGGGCAATTTGCTGAGACGGGGACAAAAGTTCACTAGGAGGATGATTCCGTAGAAATTATTGCAGCGCACGGAGTAATTATGTCAAGTGCGTAGCATCGGCAACGAGAGGCAGAACGGCAACTGAAACCGGAAAACTGGCCAGCTCTCTCAATTCGGTTCTGGCCGAATGGCGTCACCTGCTGTGCGTCAACTCTCCCAAGGATTTTGATCGTGTCGATTCGTGAGACGCATCCCCTGCCTCCTTGGTCTTCGACCCTTGGTGCCTTGTCGCTCGATGCTACCCTGTAGTTGTATCGCAAACATGCTCCAGAAGCAGTTGGCAATGCACAACTCACCATGGATTGAGTTTGGCCAAAAGTGTCATAATTTGGACTAATAATCAAGTAAATCTTATCAATGTCCGCGAGACACTCGGGGCTTTGACACGTGTGCGGGAGACTTAATCGCTTCGTCCAAACCTCGACGTGAAACTTTTACACTCCAGGCCAGCTGCACTGATCAAAGGCAAGAAAAAACGACACGTCAGCGGCCAAAAGGACTAGACTATTAACTTGTCGCCGGGTGGGATAATGAATAAAAGGGTTTGTACAGGGGACAGGCGAGTTCGGCGCAGGATTACGCTGACGGATGTAACCCAGACCTGAGTCACCGACCCCACGCCTTCTGGACGTTTTCCATTGCTGGGCACATGTCTTAGATTCAGCAGTAACTACATAGTACTAACGCATGTACGTACGCCGTAGCTAGAGGCTGTAAACTTCATGTCACATCAGGCGGGACTATCACGAGGCTATTGTCTCTGATGATTAGTTATTAGGCTGACTTGCGGGCGGAGACCCGGCGGCAGCGTGCAGCTCTACTTGGTAGCGCGCTGCGATCATTGATGATTGATTGCCTGGCACCTTGATGCTGCTCTGCCCATGGACTAAAGCCCCGGTGGAAGGCTGAGGGCATCCATTTCCAGCCGTTCGGTCAAGACCTGGTCCCTGTCTGTCCTGCTTCGTTCCGGACTGCCCCGAGCTCTCCCTCTTGCGAGTCACGACCCGCGCGTTCGGACTCGCTGCGCATTTTGATTTTTCTAGTTAGTTGCTCACCCGCCAGGTAGGAGTGGAGCAGCAGCCGGGCTCATCCAACTTTGCAGACCGGCCGAGGGTGCGAGCAGCACTTGTCTCGGCCTGTTGATTGGATGTCGAGGCCTGTCTTCACCGAGGCTAGTTTCTTCCCCATCAATATGCCCAGATTTCGCAGCGGCGGCAATGTCGTCCTCGTGTTCCGCGCCTCCAGTAGGAGTTCACGACAGCGTGGCCGTCGGTGAAGCTCCGCGTCGACAAGTCGTGCGTGCGCCGGGTTCACCTTGGTGGTGGCTGGCAGTGCAGAGTGCTACAGTATGTAGACTTGCTTGCTGTCCAGCTGATCCGAACCCTGCACTGCGGCCACGAGGAAGGGATCCTTTCTCGCATCGTGTGAATCTGCTGTTGTTCCAACCCCCGGTGAAGGTCCTAACGGCCGAGGCTCAGCGAGGGAACAGTCTGGTCATTGACTGGACTGGGTCCTGGTAGCAGGCATGATCCTTCGCAGGCTGCGAATTCTGGAGAAGCGTGCTCCATTGGTGGAGGTTGTTCTCTCGCAGTCTTGAGGTCGCCAGTACGGAAGCCGCTAGGACGGAGTACGTACCGCCGTCTTTGATTCTTTTCCCTGCCGTGACGTGAGTGGCAGACGCGGTGGGCG